TTCTGTGGTGCAGAGCTGCACCCTTCAAAGAGTGGCCGGCACAGGAGGCACGTCACCAGGTCAGCACAGGATGAGCAGCTGCCGTTCCCTGCCCTGGGTGCCTCTCTAGCCCAGTGGTTGCAGCCCGGCACGGCTGGGAACAGTGGGGCTGCATGGAGAGGCTATGAGCTCCCTGCTGCACCAGGTCATGCCCACCGGGCTGCGGAGGCTTGGGAGCAGGGAACAGCGGGGCCGCACAGAGAAGGTGCTTGCCCCGCACTCCCTGCTGCAGGGAGCTCATAGCCTCTCTGTGCAGCCCTGCTGTTCCCAGGAGTGCCAGGTCATGTCCACTGGGCTGGAGAGACACCTGAGGAAGGGAAGCAAAGTGGAGCTAGGAGCAGCAGCCTCCAGCGTTCCCTGCTTCCCTACCCCCAGTTCCTCTCCAACCTGCCCCCTCACTGCCCTGGCGATGCACTCCCTGCATGTGCTGCTGCTTGCAGCGCAGAGCTTGCAGCCTGTCTGTGCAGCAGTTATTGTATCGTGTGATTACTTGTTTGAAATTGTCATGGTTTGGGGGAGGCAGTAGACTGAGGCTAGTACGTATCCCTATTAATGATATGCAGTAATTGATTTGCTTTAGGTGGATGCAGATTTGATTTATGCAAGGTTTTATTGGAACGCAACACTCGCATAGAGAGAGACCTGAATGTAGATGTTTTAGAAGGAAAATATTTTTACAGGGAATGTCTAGTGTAATCCATCCTTTTACCCCTCCCCTTCCCCCAACTTTAATCAGGGAAGTTAGAGGCTACTGTTCTCTTTAATAGCCATCAATGGACTTGTCCTCCATGAATTTGTCTAGATCCTTTTTTGAAATTGGTTGTTTTATCTGTCTTTACAGCTTCATATGGCAATGAATTCCACCAGTTAATTATGCATCATGTTTAAAAAAACTGTTGCTTGTTTTAAATGATGGGCATCAAACATATCTGGCCCTGCAGGCTGGTTGAACAGTGCTATGGGCCAGATTGGGACCTGTCCTTGTCCTGTTCCCCCCCATGCTGGATCCAGCACTCTCTTCAGCTGCTCAAGGACCCATTCTGCACAAGACTTGCAGCCTGGGCAAGCAGGAGTGAGTGTCATGGGTGCTGGATCTTGTATGTGTTTGGGAGCTGGGGCAGAGTTGAGTGTGGTTCTGAACTGGCTCTGTGTGGGGTCAGTCCAGCATATGCTGTGTGTGGGTCAACTCAAGTCCCAGGGCCAGCACTGGGAGGCTGAAATGTTGCCTATAGAACATATCTTTGACACCCCTGTTATAAAGCCATCATTTGTTAATTTAAGTGGATGTCTCTTAGTTTTATACTGGTTAGGAGAGCATAGGGTGGGATTGGTCCATTACTGGATGTAGAGTGTAAAATTATTAGTGTTACCACAAAAGCAGAAATTTTCAACAAACATTTGTATTGTGTATTTGGAAAGAAGCAGAATGGTAAATTCCTATCACATGGATATGATGAAGTAATTTCCAAGCTGTTAATAACTGGAGAAATAGTAAAAGTTCTAAAGACAGAGATTTAAAAATTATCAGATCCAGGAAGTTTGTACCCAAGAGTCCTAAAAGATTTTTACATATTTCTGGCCCACTGAAGATTATTAATAAGTCTTCTGGAATTTTCCCACCACTCCAAGACTTGAAGAGTTAATGAAGTGTTGGTAGCCAAAATTGAAGAGGGGTGACCTGTAGAGGTGCACCAACATATCAGTCCGTATTGGATCGGCACCGATAAAAGGAAATTTGACATGATCGGTAATTGGCGGTTTTTTTGTTTTTGTTTTTTTGGGTGCTGGTGTAGCCAGTAATGTCACGGATAAATGCTGCGTATGGGCTCAGGGCCAGGGGCTGCACTGGCCTCTTCCTGGTGTGGGGGCTGGCCCAGGGCTCTGCTCAAGGAAGGCAGTGGTGGTGCTGGGAGGTGGGGCTACAGCAAATTTTAGGCTGGCTGTAGCCCACCCTGTAGTCCCCCTTCCAGCGTCACCGCTCCCTTCCCTGCTGGCCCCCCCTCCCCCCCAGCACAGCCCCAGCTCAGTCCCCACTGGGAAGAGGCCTACATAGCCCAGGCCCCAAGCTCACAGCAGGTGGCCCATCCTCACCCCACACATCTGGAGGGCACATGCCCCCTATGCGTCCCCTAGGGGTGTGTGCAGCAGCAGGGAGCCACCCCCCTCCCTATTCCCAGCACCCCCCCGTGAGCCACCTGCAGCTCCATCCCACCCGCACCCTGCTCTGCACTGGCTGGGTAGCCCCTGCCCCAACCCCAGCCCCACTCCCTCCCTTACCGTGAGGGCTTAGATCTACAGTCCCCATGCACCCCTTCCCTTCCCCATACGCTTTCCCTCACAGACTTACCCGCTGGACACTGCTCTCCAAGTTGCCGGGTTGCTTATTGGTTATCGGATCGGTATCAGTCAATATGCCTGGTTAAGAATTAGCCATTGGCATTCGTCAAAAAAAAATCTTTATCAGTGCACCCCTCGTGACCTGAATAAGTATAGAGCAGTAAACTTGCCATCAATCCTGGTAAAATAATGAAAAAGCTCATTAGGGATTCAGTTAAAAAAGAATTAAAGGATAGAGATTTAATGCTAGTCACCACAGGCTGACATATTGGGTCAACGTTACTTCAGTAAAAATAACTGCAAAGACAAGGTATGTTAACTTTTGTAAGGCATTTGCATTGAAAATGGTGACACTGAAAAAGTAAAATTTTCAATCCTGAAATAGTCACTCCAGCTCACGTGGTAGTTTGTAAAGGAAAGGTTGCAAATTCATCTTCTTCAGTTTCGTGTGCAAAATGGCCCCATTTCCACTGGCCTGAATTTCTCTTCGCACTTTTATCTGCATACTTTGCATATAAAGGGAACATTCTGCTTTTTAGAAAAGAATACAGGCCAGAACCACAGATAAACTTCACCTAACTTCCACAGTGAAATAAATGACCTTAATTTAAGTTGCATAATTCCTGATGAGATGCATAATGTGGCTTAGGTACCTAGTGATGGGACTGGCAACAACTAGCATGCTGAGCAAGAGTATAATAAGTTAGCAGGAGATCTGAGAGAGGGTTTTGTTTCTCTGAAATCCCACTTTTCTGGACTTGGGTGCCTACCTACAGCCCTGAGTCGGGTATCTATGTGACATTTGGATACATAGCTTGAAACAGCTCCTAGACTTGAATATTTAAGTTATCTATTTGGGTACAGATGACTAGATTGCTCTCCTCTTTTTAAATTACAACATATGGCCCCTTATCTTCACACAATAGCTCAGTGGTTTAAGTCACCTGCCTAGGCAATGGGAGACCTGGGTTTTATGTCCCCCTCAGCCTGTGGAGGATTAAACCCACACTTTCCCCTTGAGACAATTCTCCATGCAGGTGCTTTGCTCCTGCTCAGAAGCCTGGTGGTCCTGCTCTGTTTTGTCTGTGCATCAGGGCTTCCCACTAGTCTCAATTTGAGGAGCTTCAATCAAGCTCAAAAGCTTTGTTAGTTTGTTTGTTTTTTATATTAATAGTTCAGTTTTTTTGAGGAACAGACATTTTTAGGCTTGTTTTTCATGGACGGTCTGTACATTGATGGATATCTGGCAACCATGGTGGATAGTATCTCTTAATTGTGCATTTATCTTGATGTTTAGGTACACCCTCAGCAAGTATTCCCATCGCTAGAATGTTGCTATACTTTGAATGAGAGTGTCAATTCTGCAGTGGTTTTGTTTGTTTGTTTTGGTTGGGGTTTTTTTGTGCTGAACTCAATATTATCAGTATGCATCAGTCATGCTAAAAGCATGCCTGTTAGATAGTCCTCCCTCAGGGGATGTAGGTCTAGGGATACCTAGTTTGTGAATCTCAGCTCAGCTGAGCCAAGGTGGTGTCAGTTCTGAGCCTGTGCAGGAGCAGCACTGTCTATGTCTAGGGAGTTTTATTGGGGAATTTAAGGTGCTGAATCCATTAGTAGGGGGGTTTTGTAGACTGCACTGTTGTTAGACTTAAGCATTTCATTCTCCAGTCCTGATTCATTGCCTTTGTAGATCTTGTCCTTCATCTTTCAGGAAACATAATTATATATACCTACTCTGTCTAGCATAAATTATAGTTTATGGGGAAGAGATGCATGAGAGAAATCCTGTTAATATCGGTAAACCCTTTCCCATTGGATAAGGAGATGAATTACATTTTATGACTCTCTGGAAACTCTTTAGAAAAGATAAGATTTATCTGTGGGGAGTGCTGGGCAGTGCAGTTTCAGCAGAGCTAAACATGGGCGACTGGTAGGGGGTGCACGGGCCCCCCCTGATGGCCAAAAGTGATGCTGTCAGTAGCATTGGTTACCCCCCTGACAGAGACGGCAGCTTCTGCGGGTGCTGTCGCCCCCCGCCCCCCCCCCCACTTGTGGAGCTAAACTTGCAACTTTTTTGTAAAAGTGGGTAGCCTCCCCATGTCTTAAGGGATCTCCAGGGGTCAGACTTGGGATTTGCCTTGCGTCCTAATTTACAAGGAAAAAAATCTTGTCTAAGGGGATTGTGGGGAAGGTCTCCACAAGAAGGTCCTCACACAGATTCTCTTCGTTGGGATTCCTGCCAAGAAGATTTGTTACAAAAGGAAATAATCTAGCCATCTTGATGGTCAAACATTTTTTTTTCCTGCAGAAAAATATGCTTACGTTAAAGAGAGACAGTTACATTTAAAGTTACATCTGTAGTCTCCATCTGTTCACTACATTTTAAAAAAGTGAACTTTTTGCTAATTTTTGTCCTTTTATTTCTCAATCTAAGTAATGAAAATGGGTCAAGGAATTGCCATTATTTAGCTGAAAAAATGTTTTTGTAAGGTGATTGAATTAGACTAGTTATTTCTTTGTAACAAAGGTTCATGTTCAAAAGGGTGGCTGTGAAGTGATAGCACAAAACAGTGGTAAAAGCAAGTTATAATGAAAGCATGCATGTAATTTTCTTTTCTTTTCAGCTCTAATTAAATACTGCCGGCCAGTATTTGTGTCTCGGTCAGACCAGGATTCTCGCAGGAAAACAGTTGAAGAGATAAAGAGACGTGCTCAGTCAGGCAAATGGCCCCAGGTACCTTGTGGTTCTTCTGTGACAGAATATATTTGGTATTTGTTGACAGCAGTTTAGTCTGTCCTGTTTCCAACTCTTCCCTATCACACTAATCCTCTTATTCTTTTCTCCCTGAGATATGCAACTTCAAATCCTTACTTGCATGATGAATTTCTAGCCTCATCTTTAGTTCTGTTGTGATGTGTTTAGCATTTGGAGATAATTTCCACTGTAGTAATAGTGTTAAAATGTAAATATTATTAAGGATGGTTGAGGTGTTTGGCACTTGATATATCAAGTGTTACAACTCAGCACACTAGGGCTGTCCAGTTGGCTGCCCATGGACTGCATGCGACTCATGAGCCCTTAGCTTATGGCCTGTGGGCTCCCTCCTGGGTGCTGCTCTCCCATTGTTCCTTGTGGCCAGGATCTTCGGGCTCCTGCTCCCTCTTCCTCCTCAGGGAGGCCCACGCAGTTTGCTTTGGGAAGAGAAATGGAAAAGGAGGGATACTTCAGGCTCTGTGCTGCAAGTCTAAACTTTCTGAAAGCGTGTACATTATATTGTAATTTGGAAACCTATTAGAGCCTTTTCTTGTGATATGGACGAAACTACTATGTAATTATGTGGTCACCGACCCATTTAGAGTAATGGAGCGGAACAAGATCTTGTCCTTACCTAGGGACTTTTATCAGTGGAACTTGCAGTGCTGCAGAGGAAATATGTATTACTGATGCTTTAAAGAAAAGGAAACTGAGTAAAGAGCAAAGTAACATGTTCAGAGTTACTTAGAAGGTCAGGAGCAGGAGCAGTGCTGGAAGTAGAACCCAGCTCTCCTGAGTCCTAGTCTCGTGGTCTGTTCACTGGCAGTAGGCATTCACTTCCCTTGAATTCAGCAATTTGGAATTGAGGATGCGAGCCCTCAGTATCTTTCCTATTTCTCTTTTTCTGACTGGAGTTTACTCAGAATCTAACCTTCTCTTCCCATTGCTGATAATTCAGTTAAGCCTTAAGAATCTTTTTTTTTCTTGTTAAAATATTCATTTAGGTGTTTTAGGGGCTCTGCAATGGTGGTATCTGAATAACTACCAGGTACTTAGTATGCGAGGGCAAGACTTATTTTTTCTCTTTCCAATCTGAGAGAGGGATCTTGATTAGTTTGTGGGAGTTTTTTTATATTTTGTGAAACTAGGTCTTTAGGCACATGTGTTCTGAAGAAATTGAAAGAGAACTGAATTCATTTTTTTTAACATGTTATATTTGAGTCTAGTTTTACAACCCATAAGAATGGTTGTAGAACAGAGTTCTCTGGTGTTGTTTGAATATGAAAATAAACAACTTTACTTGGATTGAAAATGAATCTTAACTCATTCCCCCCCTGAAATTATTATAGTTAATATGAAGAATTTTTAAATTTTGTCTTTAAAGATGTAAATATTTATAAATAAATCCACATGGAATAGTTATATTTCATAAAAGTGAACTTTGTTTTTACTCCAAGATCATAATATTCCCTGAAGGCACTTGCACAAACAGATCCTGTTTAATTACCTTCAAGCCTGGTAGGTGTCTTTCATTTTCCTTTTATAGCATGCTCTCATTGCTGTAGTATTTTAAATGTATTGTTTGCCTTGTAATTGGCTTGCTACTGAAAAGCATGAATGAAAAAGCCTTGTGAAGGGCTGGGATTGAAGTGGAATTTTTCTAACGCTACAGATCACTATGGCATAGTTTTACCACATTTTAATTTCCTGTGGCTGAAAGCGGAGTTGATGGAGAGAGAAAAAGCATTGCTTCTTGCGACACCTTACTTGTTCAGTTTTGGTGCCTGGGGACCAAAGAAAGTTGGGAATCACTGTTGTAACTGGACTATGTTTTTACAATTACACACTTTGAATCCAATTCAAATAGTATTTTTCCTTTGTTTGTGAGCTGTGAACAGTTTCTCTCGCTGAATTTTTGCATCCCTCGTGATAGAGCAGTCTGAACTACCAAAAGCATATGTATTCAGTGTGAGGGTGCTGTAACACCTACTGCTAAATAATCTGTAGCTGACCTTCACTTTCCAGCTGGATGTACCTAACACACATCTGTTGAGAGGTACTCTGGTCAGGTCTGCCCCCAGAAACTTCTTCCAGTATAGCAATACTAGTTAAAAGGATGATCCTGTGTTTTCTGACATTTCTTTGGCAAAAAGCCCTATTTAAACCGTTATAGCAGCATGAAAGTGCTTTTCCCCGGATAACTTTTTGTTTGTGAAACCACTAGGAATTAATAACCAAGAGGTGTTTTGCAGACACAAACTGCATCAGTCTAGAAGGGCTTGTTAGTGCCTCAAACCTTTTTGACTTGTTACCCTAGCCATGACCTGTCAGCAGCTAGGTGAATGCACAGCAACAAGACGACCAGTTCTGGGAACAGTGCTCTTTGACTCCCTTGACCATGTCCAAGTGCAGACTTGCGGTATGTGGTGCCACAGGCCCATCTGCGGTGCCACTCAGTGCACATGCCGGTGTTCCCCATGCTGCTACCTTGCAGTGTGTGTGTGTGTGTGTGGGGGGGGGGTTGACCCCAGGAGATCCTGAGGTCAGAGAAACCCAGGCCAGAAAAAAGCAGGGCGGCACAAATGGCAGCAGCATGCGCCACCCAAAACCAGAGCCTACCTTAGATTCAGGTAAATATGATGCATTATAAAAAAAAAAAAAGAAGAAATCAATAATCCTGATGTCAAATTTGAGAGAGTGGGATGTGATAAAATGTTTCTTTTGTACTTGATTATTTGCATTTAAGTAGCCAGTGAAGGATTTAGCATTTTTGTTTACATTCTGTTAATTGTTTATATTTCCTTTATAAGTGACAACAGTGTATATACTTTTGGTCATGTATTATCTTTTTAAAATAACGTTTTCTAAGGAATTATTATTGGCTACTTACTTTTGCTTTTTTCCTTTGTCATGAGGTGAATTCTAACTGTTCTTCATGAAAGACTGAAAAAAATAACCATTATTCACAGAGTCTTTTGGAAGTGAACAGTTTACTGTAGTAAAGACATTTTTTTGCAAAAAAGTAATGATATGAATATGCCTTCCAGGTGCATTTATCCCTGGAGTTCCTGTACAGCCAGTAGTTTTACGGTATCCTAACAAACTGGTAAGTTCAGTTGCTTTTTCGTTTTTTGTTTTTTTTATTATTATTTATTTTGGCTATGGGATTTGCTGCTTTGCCATCAAATTGTTTAACTTAGAGTGCACACTTGGCATTGATGTTTTTGTTGGCTTTTTGTAGACAAAAGCCCAGCAGGAGACAGGTGTAGGTTAATTGCTGATTTTTATCAACTTGCTTTACTTTTTTGCTCTTGCTCTTGCCCTCTCCTGAAAGAATTCCCTCTATCCACTTAAAGTATTACGAAAAATCTTCTAAGGCAATCTCCAGTCTGTAAAATCAAGGTTTTTAGGTGAGGGGGCAGAGAGGGGGGGATTTCATTTAGTCAGTGTGGTGAGGAGAGAGTACTTTAATTCCTCAACAAGTTTTGGTAGATAGAGCCAAAAGCAATTTTTTTTCAAGTATCCAGGTCAGTTGCAATTACACCCTAGGACTTGTAACAGCATGCTTATTTGACATCTTTTGAGATGAATGCTGTATAAAGTCTTCAGCCTGATGTCTTGAACAGTAGATTTCTCTATGCAGCCTGTCTGAAGATTGTAAATCTCTTTGAAATGCACAAAAAATCTTGGAGCAGCTCTAATTATCACTTCATTAGGAGCGAAGGAATGTCACTCCTCCCTTATCCCTGGAGCATGTGTAAAAGTGTCTGAAGGTAAAATTAAAGTCAAATTAATCACCCTAAAACCATGGATCAGATTAGGGGTGTGCATGGGACGAATCTGCAGGCTGGATTAGGTATCAGGGCCCTGTGGCATCCTTGGCCACTGGGATCAAGGCCCTACCTGGTCCTGCGTGTGGGAACTAGGCTCTGTAGGCCCTGTACCACCTCTGCCCAGTCCCATGTGCTATGCTGGGCGTGGAAGGCAGCCATGGTCCACAGGGCTCCCCACAGGCCTGTGGGGAGTCCCACAGGCTGGATGGCATGCCAAGGGGGGCAGCATCTGGCCCATGACTCACACATTGAGTGCTCCTGCTTTAAGCTACAAAAACATATTGGAGATTGCTTCTGCCCCTACAAATTTCAAACAAGATCTAAGACTATGAGCTAACAGTATGCCCTTGTTGTGAAGAAGGCTAGCAGTATACTGGGCTGCATTAAGTGTGTTGCCAGCAGATCAAGGGAAGTAATTATTCCCCTCTATTCAGCACTGGTGAGGCCATATCTGGAGTACTGTGTCCAGTTTTGGGCCCTCCCACTACAGAAAGGATATGGAAAAATTGGAGAGAGTCCAGTGGAGGGCAACAAAAAGGGTTAGGGGGCTGGGCATGTGACTTACAAGGAGAGGCTGAGGAAACTGAGTTTATCTAATCTGGAGAAGAGAAGACTGAGAAGGGATGTAATAGCAACCTTCAACTACCTGAAACGTGGTTCCAAAGACAAAGGAGCTAGGCTGTTCTCAGTGGTGGCAGATGACAAAACAAAGAGGAATGGTTTCAAGTTGACACAAAGGAAGTTTAGGTTGGATATTAGGAAGAACTTTCTTACTAGAAGAGTAGTAAAGCACTGGGGCAGGTTACCCAGAGAGGTTGTAGAGTCTTCATCCTTAGAGGTTTTTAAAACCTGGGTAGACAAAGCTTTGGCTGGGATGATCTAATTGTTGATGGTCCTGTTTGAGCAAGGGGTTGGACTAGATGACCTCCTGAGGTCCCTCCCAACCCTAATTTTCTGTGGTGATTTTGTGACCTAAAATTAAATAAAAAATGACTGGCGGGGGGTAGGAAAAAACATTTTCCCCTGCCCATTACAAATTCCATAACTGCAGGAGGTAGACCTTTTTAAGTCTAGAAATGTTGAGAATATAGATGAATGATGCATTGTCCTAATCCTTTCTGCTGGATGAACAAGCATGCTTTCATATATGGATGTGACATCACATCTGTATGACTGTGTGTGTGTAAGTACTTCCCTGTATGTCCTCAAAATTAATTCATTTCCATCGGTTAGGTCATTAGCATTTACTCCTCCCCTAGATTCACCATCTTGGTAAACCATATAATCTCTAAGCATTTTCTGCAAATAAGCTTCAGAAACAAAAAAGAGCAGAGAAGGAAAGAAATTGCTGTTACAGATTAATGTTAGGTTAGATTGAGAAGGTAGGGTGAAACTAGAGAAGAGATGCAGAGTAGGTGGGGAAGGATAGGGTTTGGAGCTTGTGTGTTGTGTTGGCTAGGCTGGCACATATTAGTGGAGCTGTGAGGAGTTAGACCTTGGCTAGTTAGGCAGGATCAGGAAAAGTGAAGGTTTATTGCTTTGGCCTCAAGTGTTTTCAGCTTCATTCTTGATGGATTTACTTTTCCATAGTCCTTGGTTCCAGCCCTCTCTAGGCCTCCTTAGATCTCCCTGTGGGGGCAGCAACTCCTCATAATTATAGTTTCAGGAATGGATGTTCTAATTAAGGCATAAGAGATTTGTATTTAAGAACAAAGCCCTATTTTAATGTTTTATAGAGCAGTGCAAGCCTGCCGTGGGCTTCAGCTAATCAGCCTCTTTTTTTGCCTCCTGTAGTCCAGAACCCTGACATTCCATCCTCCAGTTTGGAAGACCTTTGGGTTCCATAAGCACTGTCCCCTGCCACCTCCTTCCATACTGCCCCTTCCTCCCACCACCAGGGAGGGTGGGCAGTTCTTATGGAACCCAGAGTTCTGGATAAGTATGTTATAAATCTCTAGTTCTGTACCTAGTTCTTGAATTGGTGCTTTGCAGTAGACTGAAACAGTCAGAAATGGCGCAGTAAGTCTGATTGTGATTGCTTTGGAGAGTTCCTTAATTGTTGCTGACTTGTCTGGAAGTCCTTTTCTTAAGGCTTCTAATACCAGCTGTGTCTCTCTCTCATGGGTCCAATTTCTTCAGGAACAGGGGAATTACATTTTGATGCAGTTGTTTTTGGGCATGAGGTGGAGAGAATTCTAGCTGTATGAATGGGCATTGTGCCATTCTACTTATTGACTCTGGTTTTTTATGGGTCAGACTTAGGAGTTCACTTTATTTCTTTGCTGTAGGTTAAGTATCCTTTAGTTCTTTGAATTCTGGACAGTTAGTATCCATATTCCAATTAAGGGGCTATCATGTTACCTCCCTGGCCTTGCAACAACAGCAATATATTAAGTTCTTTTCATACATTCCTTTGCCACGTTTTACAGTTTTGCTTTGCCTATATTATTCTGCCAGAGATTGGTAGTTGTATTTAAGGTAGGCTTCATTTCTGTCAAAATCCTCGTGTGTGTGTATGTTTATGCATGCATTCAGGTCCAAAACTCCTTTGTAGGCAATCAAGGCCATTTTATTCTAAGATTGTGGCCTTTCTTGTGCAGTTTTTTCCCCCCCGCCCACTTTATTTTCATTCGCTTGTTTATTTTGCTACAAGTTAACCTATTTCATTGCTATTGAAGCCTCCTTGGGCACATCCATATGAGCAAGCCCGTGCCTGTTGCAAGAGGCATTCTGGGAACCAAAAAATGTTCCCTGTGCTGCATATTTACACAGCACGGACACTGATTTTGATACCGGAAAATCCTGGTATAAAAAACAAAACAAAAAAACCTGCTTAAAAAAGTGATGAGGCTGAGTCCTCCAGAGAGACAATTTGACACCCAGCCAGAGCCTCTCTTTTATGTTGAGCCCCTGTTGCCCCAGTAGGCTGCCCAGATGGCAGAGTGGGGGTACCAGAAGACATGATAGCAGTGCCACCTGAAGGTCAACTGTGCAGCCGCCGCCTACTGCCAACTGGCCCAGAGGTGCAGCTTTGCTGCAGTGCCCATACCGCAGCCCAGGTGGCTGTGCAGTCCCTGTCCAGGCCTGGCAGGCACGCAGCCATGGGGCTGCAGGTCCAAGAGGGCTGATGCTGTCACAGGTGGCAGCAGATAATAGCCAGGCAGCAGCTCCCACTGCCAGACTGCTGCAGTGGGTAGAGAGTACAGGGGCCACTCTCTTCAGGTTAGGGCTGCTTCAGCAGTCCAGCTGGCACAAGGGGCTAGTGTCCCCAGATACTGACTGGCTGGGCCTCAGAATCTCATAAGGTCATGTAGTCCTGAGCTGCTTGCCAGGGCAGCTTTTTATTCTGCTGGTGCTAACAGCTCCCCCTGGCAGAAGATCCAGGCAGAGCTGGGCAGGTTCAGCTTGCCTCAAGTGGCACAATTTGCCCCAAAGTGCATGTTTAGATGTGTGCTGAGGCACAAATCTCCAGCACAAATTTGTGCTGCTACTATTTGAGCTGCTGCAAGCGCATGTGCCTGCATGTGTGGATGCACATCTCATGTTCAACTTACACTTGCAATTTGCTTGTTGCACTGCTTTGCAGATTTCCATAGCTTTCTAAAGACAGATCTCAGACTCTCCATAATAATTCACATACCCCATCTCCACAGCCCAGTGCTAATCTTAAAGGGCCTAGATTGCAACACTGACTATATATAAAAAAACCCAAAAACATTCAGAGCTTTTAGTCTTAGTACTTCCTTAAGTCTCCACTGTTGTTTGGAAGAGAAACCTTTCAAAGGTTTCACTTTTTTAGGTACAGAATCTTCAAATTGTGCTTTGCCTCTAACAAAATAACTGCTGTCCCTGAGCAAGAGCTGGAAGCTTTTTATAAACACATACAGTGTTCATATCAGCTACAGATAAAATATTGCTTTTCTGGCACAACTCTGTTTTATCTTAGTTTGCATACAGTAGTGAGAGTCTGGATAAGCTTCAGTCAACCACTTTGTTTTGATCCCAGCAGTCCATCTTCCAAAATAAAGGGTGACTGTCTTTGGCTGTACAGCCTCACTTGCACTTTCTTGTATAATGAAGTAAAATTTTGAAGTTAACTTCCAAATCTTAAAGTCCTCTCTCTCTGACATCTTCTGGAAAACTGAAGCTTGCTTCCTTCCAAACCTCTCCAATCCCCTCATTTTCCAGCAGTGCCTCCTGGTCCATCAGGCTTCTAATCTAGAATTGATCTTAAACTCTTTCCTCTTTCTTATGTTACAAATGCATGTCTTTACCAAATCAGGCAGCTTATTTCTTCATACCACTTCCTTTTTCTGTTCAAATGGCTCAATTTTTTGTACAGACTCTTATCTTTGTTTTGGACTGCTACTCCTTGCTTGGCTCCTGACACCCATGATGGCCTCCCTCAAATCTACTCAAAAGCACAAGCACTCTAAACTTTCTTGTTTGAACTGAAACACTTATCAGCACATCACTCCCCTCCTTTCTCCTTTGCTTCAAGTTCAAGTTTCCAGTCTTTCCTTCCAGGTCATGCCAGTTCTATCTGATTTAACTGCTTATATCTCCCTCCCTCTGCAACACACATGATGCCCTCTTCTGTCCACTCCTTCCATCACCGTGTCTTTGCTATCTTGCTCCCAGGTTGCTCACTACTCATGCAGTGCCTTTTTGAGGCTTGGGTTGTCTTTTGTTGTTTTGTTTTTTTAACTGTAAACTCTCCTGTTTTAAAATTCTTTTTCAAGGTGCACTTCTACTACAAAACCAACAAGAATGTAGCCAACCCATAAAGGCCTTGGCACAGTAGTAATAGTAAAAATACTTTCCAGTTTTGCTGCTTAGAAATAAAGGTATTTTGATGATAAAATGTGTGCCAGTCATTACATTGATCTTTTTTAATGTCATATCTTTTTCCAGCACTTGCTTTGCTCTTTGTTTTTTCAGATTTCAAGTTCTTCATAACACAGACTCCATTTTCCAACCTTCAGACTTAGAGTTCCCAGGCCTCTGGATGTTGGAAGCTGTAGAGGGAGGGGGACAAGGGACAGATCAGTCTGGATAGGCCCTGCTTAAATGCTCATCCCATTAGCATCTGCACTGCACTGCTGTGAGAGCAATTTGGTTCATGGTGGCATGGACCTGTGGTCTGACCCGGTGGGTCATCTCTTGCGTTCTTTCTTTCATATGCTTCTGTTTATACCCTTACTGGCCGTTACCTATTTTTAAAAAATCTAATGGGACAAAAGAAGCATCTGAATTGCAGTTAATTGTTTCTAAATGTATATATTTTTAAGTGGGCATCTTTTGAAGGATCTGAAGAGTCTTCAAATGTGCTATGAACATAATTTTCTTGTATGTAAGCCCTGAATTACACCTGAACTGTGTTTCTTAACTTTATAAAAGGCAAGCTTATTCCTGTTTAGCATTGTTTATTCCTAACGGAAGTAGCTTTTTTAAAAATGGTTCATTGCTATCTTCATGAGGACTTAGAGAAAAATAATTGCATTTGTTTTGCACTTCTTAGGATACAATCACATGGACATGGCAAGGACCAGGAGCGTAAGTCAATCATGTCTTCTTCCTTGTGCTGTGATTGCTTTTGTAAATTAGCTTGGTGTTACAAGCGTACTGTCAGATGGGCATTATTGGTTATTAGAGTATTCCATAAAATGAATGAATCTTTCCTGTTGATGATTGCCACATCATTAAAAAAAACAAACAAAACCTCATCTGGAAAAATCTAGAAAGAAACTAGTATTGTTTTCTGCCACTTGTTTCTGTCCAATGGCGATATGTGCTTAGATGGCTTTTGTCTCATTGCCTTGATTATTTTATGGACTGTTTTTGTTTTCCTGTTTTGTTTTTATTTCAATATTGTTATATGATCCACCTGCATGTGGTGAGACATTGCTTTTGCTCCCACACCACATAACTTTCATATCTCCACATTTCTTAGCATCATCATTTGAATGTTTTGGCCATCTTTAGGAAATGCTAAAGATGCAAATGCTGCTGCCAATTTGGCAGTAGCTGTGATGGGATTAAAGCCTGAACTTTGGGGCTGGAAGGAGAGGGTTAGTAATGCTGAGAACTGGTCTCTGCCTCTCCTTCGTGAGCCCAAAAGGACAGCACAGGCTTGGCAGCCATTACAGCATCCTCATGCCTCCATTCCAGCGTGGAATGCTCATAGAAATGCTGGAATCAATTTTCTTTCATAAAACTCACCCCCATATTTTGAATGGCTAAGAAAAGAGTAACACTTCAGCTGCTGGGCCTGTTGTGCCCTTAAGTTAGAGATCTTTAAAGTTGCCATTGACTGCATGCAATGCTGAGCTCTCCAGCCAGGGGCCACAAGGAGCTGTGGTGAACTGTGTCTCTGCTCCTCCCTCTGCCCCCTCCTGAAGGGGAGTGGAACAGTCAGTGCTATTCTGCAGCCCATCTCTGCCAAGGCTGCAACACTTTTTTTTTTTATGAGGGGGTGGTGGGGGGTGGTGAAGCAGAGCTGGTTCTTGTGAGTGTTCTCCTATGACTTAGGCCTACACTGTACTGAAGCAAAGAGGTGCACAGAGTTTGTGGGCTAGAGAACTGGGATCCTGGTGGCAGCATTGCAGGGATATTGCAGCAGTGGTCAGACCCTGATAACGCCTTTAGTGCTAGGGGCTTTGACACCCTGATTGTTCCTGGCACTCTTAGGGGGAAGAGGGAAGGCAGCAGCAACCAGAGGGAGAATCGGCACCACAGCAGCAGTTATGCTGGGGCATCAGTCAGCACCTAGGGTGCTGGAGCTCCCCATGCTTAGAGCACTACTTGAATCCTGACACCACCCTAAGCATCCTCTGCCCCTGCCCATGTGCTGCTGCTGGAACCAGGATTCTAGCTTTCCAACCCCCACATGTTTTTCTGCTGCTGTGGCTCCCCTGATCTTTTGCCAGAATCAGATGACCACAGCTCTGAATGACTGTTCTCCTTTCTCTCTCCCCGATCTTGCCCTCACCTGCCCTGTGAAGAAAGGGGCAAGAGAGGAGCACTGTGGGATTTGATGGAGAATCCATGGGTCCTCTGTTCTGCACCAGAGAGCATGCATATGTAGCAGGAAGTGAAATGCTTCTAAACAGTATATCAGTTTCAACTGGTACTTTTGTGGAGCTCTCTGGCTGCTTTTGGAATGCATCAGAGGGCCTGGACGTCTGTATGGCTCACCCATTGAAGTGTTTCATAAGTTACATCTATTCACAACGTGAATTAACTCATCTGCTTGAGTTAAACCACATTAAATGACAAAGATACTTGTTTAGAATTCAGGTCCCTTTTATTAAATGTAGTTTAATTCACTAACAAAATAAATTATATTATTGTGAATTAAGTCTGCATTAATTCTGAGTCTCTGTACCTGCCTGGATCAATACAGTTTTAGTAATCCACTGTAAATTTGTACGTAGTGAATTAACCATAATTTTCCTGAATGCAGCTGGGAAGGAAGCCTGAAGTTAACACATGTGCATTACACTGGAAAATCTCAATTTGTTTGTGCTTCCACCTTCTGCACTTGCTGAAGTTTCCTCAGAGCACCACTTTCTCACAGCATAACAGCACAAAGCTTTTGTGTTGGCATTTGCTATTAGGCAAAATAGCTTCCTTTCCATGAAGGCTGACAATCTTTTCAGAGTCCAAGAGATTTGTAAATAGTGAGAACTCCTCACACCACAATATACACAAACTTACAATTTTAGAAGTAACTCATATACTTCTGACAGATGTTGGAGCAGATCTTTTGGTAGAAGTGAAGCTTTGGCTCCCCTGGCACCTAGTGGTCAGGAACTGTAATAACTAAGACCTGCTGCAGGCAGTCAGTTTAGGAGAGTTGGTCATGCCTGCTCCTTACTCTGAGTAATTCTGAGAATAAGTTATTCTGTAGTAGTTTTGTCTGCACCTTATGTCCTTTTCTGGAGTTGGGTGCTAACACCATCTGAAACCAAGCTGGTTTCTTTATCCTTAAATTTCACACTACATGTTCCCTTAAGTTATTTTGAATGTGATAAAGGAAAGCAAGATAGATATGTGTATATTTTTTTTCAGTGGGCTAAAACATTAAATGTAGGCAACTATGATTTTGACTCTCTGCCTTCCCCTTCCCCCCCTGCTACCACCCAAACTGCATACATGCATGAATCTGGACAGTTTTCTTAAACAGATGCACTACTTTTGCTATGTTTAGATGGTTTGTGTCCATATTAGTCATACTACAGTGGAGGTATTCCCAAAGGAATGCGACTTTCTTACTGCTTCAGACTTCCCATATCATTGGCTATCTGTTGAATGTGAAATTTTTTTGATACTTGTTTATAGAAACTGGTAATACATGTGAAAGTGCCATCCAAATGCATTTTTTTCTAAATATGCATCTTAGCTATATAATGCTAGTTGAGGAACTTCAAATGCAGTGCATTGCTTTTGCTACAATCAAAAATTCTGTTTTTGTTTTGTTTTTTTAAGGATGGAAATACTATGGCTTACCTTGTGTCAGTTTCACAATTCTGTGGAAATTGAGGTTAGTATAAAAGTATCAATACTGTCTATTACAGGCAGTAAAAGGAAAAATACTTTTATAGACTACATATGCACAGTAATGCTATCACATGGTAAAAATATGTACTGAGACTTTCAGTGTTAGCACTGCATTCTATTGCAGGCTTAATACCATTCACATGTAGTATACATAGATTTTCTATCTGAAAGCTTTACCCAAAATCAAAGTTAAAAATTCCTAACCTTCCTCTGTGGCTGCTGTGCATTTTCATTTAAAGGATACATTGTCATTTAAGTTACCAAGCGCTTTGGTAGCTATGGATACCTTATTTTCAGATATCAGTGATTAATGTGCAATATTAAGATTTTTCTTTGGAAGGAAAAAAAAATGCAAAATTTCTTCAAATCTTTTAATACTTCAGTCAAAACAAAAGAAGTTGTACAATTAAGCATGTGAGAATGGGGGAATGTGAAAGTTAAGTTTTCATGTGCAGCCTTAACTTTGCATTGTGCATTTTCAGTACAGGTACTGTTTGCATACTAGCTTTTTTTTTAAAGTATTTTTAAGGGATTCTTAGATTTTTATAACATTTCATGCTGTTTTTTATTCTTGATTTTTATTGTTTAAAAAAAAAAATTCACTGGCATAACTGCCCAAGATAAGATCTTTAGCAGTCTAAATTTTCTCACGTGTGTTGTTTTTTAGCTGCATCTCAAGCCAGAAACACCCCCTTTCCTCTGGGCAGTTGAGACTAGGCAGTTAACTAGGAGGAAAAAAATATTGCTATATAAATATGAGCAGTTAATACTTGCTTTCCGTATAAATTGCATTTAACTTATGATGTATGCTGCAAACAGGGTAGTGACTAGTAGAAGAGTTGAGCAGTAAGGTTGCAGAAACTTAGAAATACTTCAGGAAGATATTGTGCATTTGTAATTTGCTTTTTCAGGGCTTATCTACATTTAACTGATTCAACCCAACTCATAGTGCTTTCTGTGCATGTGGAGGAAGGGAGTGTGTGAGAGAGAAAATATGGGGAGACAGACATTCAGAATTCTGCTGAGTTACAAAAAGTGACAGTGGAGTCTGATTTGGAATAACTCAACTAGAAACCATTTCATCTCCTTGCCCTACCACACTTTTTCTGCTACCCATAGAGGAATGAATTCCCTGCACTGAATATAAGAACTATGGATCAAGGGATCAAGGGATATCATTTTGTTATGAAAATACATTAAGGTGTATAGCTTCATAAGGGACACCCCTTGATTACTTTTCACAAAGTCTTTTAGTTATATTTCTTGTTATCTAAACATCTTGCACCACGTCCTTGGGTGTAACTGAAGGGCGTGTAACATGCTAGGCACCTCGTGCAAAGGATGTTTACAGTTCATCTTTGCACTGCTCGCCTTGTACTGTGGTTAAGGAGTCACTACTCAAGTGACCCTGAGTTGAAGTGTCCAGAGGGGCAGGAAGGCTTAATGGGCTGATGTAGAAGTTTGATCATTCTTTCTTTGCTACACTAGGAGCAGCGGAGAGGGTGTTTGTAGTACACATAGGTAGACCCCATGTCAATAAAAAAAATTAAAGCTAATCTGTGTTACTGAGGGCAGGAGCGGAGCCACACCATTATGAACAGCTGTAGCCTATGATGTGGCTTTAAGTGTGTATTACATCAGGTTTTCTAGATCTTGGTTTTTAAATTGCTGTCTTCCCACACTACTGCTTTAATTTTATTCTGAGCAGGACTGCTACATATATCTTTCACTACAGTGTAATAATACAAAGGTTTTCAAATGATATATATTTTGATATAATTTGGTTTTCTGTTTTCAGTTTCTACCTGTGTATATCCCTTCAGAAGAGGAAAGAAAGAACCCATCTTTGTATGCAAACAATGTCAGGCAGGTAATGGCAGAGTAAGTATGCCTGATTTTTCACTTTGGAATCAAACAGAAGTTCTGAAGGCTATATCAATATTTGCCTCTGTGCAGACAAACATATAGAATATAACCTATATTTAAAACACCATTTACTTGACTCTTCTTTTAATGTATTTTGTTATTTGAGGCAGGTAATCAACTGAAATGATTGTCAGAGAGGAAGTACTATGAAAACTTACAAGTGCTTTAGCTTCCTCTGTACCTCGCATGTTACCATGACTGCTGTTATGGTGTGGTGTTAGGACTTCGGAAAAAATGTTATGTAAAATAAGAAAAACCTGGATGTGCCCTGAAGTTTAAACTATATGTGAGATTTTTTTTGTTTTGAAAACACTGAGTTAAAATGGAAGAACATCTCAGATATCGATCTGACATGAAATGAAATGAAATTAAAAAAAAAACAAAACAGCTTCACATTAAGCTACATCTCCCTGAAAGCATGGTCATATAAACAGAAATTTCCCTCCACTCCCTACTTAACATTGTAGAATGGTCATCTGCTCTGCTATAGCTGTTTTATGTCTCCATTCTTATTCCAGGGTAAATGGAGGTGCCCAGAAGTGTGCCTGATAGTTCGTGTCCTGGGGGGGTGGGGGTCAGAATGGAGGTAGGGAAGCCTGAGCCTCCTGCTGTGCAGAGTAGAGCCAGGGGCAGGATACTGCAAAGAAGCGTCACTGCCAAGACCTAGGTTAACTCCTTCCCTGGGCCTGTAAACAGCACAAGCTTTTTCTTTTTTTTTTATGGCAAATGAGGATTTAAAGGCCTAAATTTGGCAGCAGCTACAGGGCTAGGGAAGTGTAAATCAGCTCATGGCAGTTAAATCTAGTACCAACTTTTGCTGCAGCAGCAGCATCCTGCCCCTCCTTCCACCCTGCCCCCCTGCTAAAGGTTGGAGTACCCTCCCTTTGAATGCCTGGGGCTTGGGTGCCGAACATAGAAGCTTCCTTTGCTGCTGGTTGGTCACCACTTAAAGGTAAATGTAGGGTGTTGCAGTGTTGAATACATTTGATTCAAGAAATATTGTAAAGTACACAAACTTTAACTCCTGTTACTCAGGGTAGAGCTACGTGTGCGCCTTACTGTGGAGTAGACTAATTGGCTTCACAGTAAAGCATCACCATTTACACATGTGCCAGTATTAGGGTGCAGTAAATTAACTAACTTCTCCATAAGATAGTACAGTCAAGGAAAGTACTATCTTATGGTGGAATACTTATGCGCACTGAAATACACATGTAGATTGTGATGGGCTGACTGGGGCACGAGGGTGCTAAAGTGCAGGGGCTGCCTGCCACTTAGCCCCACACTTTAGCACCCTTTTGTCCCAGCCAGCCCCTCCACATCCCAACACTACCCAGAGCCTGGGAGTGGCAACCCTCCTTCCCCTCCCCCCACTTAACTTCCCTGGGGCCCCTATGCCTGGGGCTACTCTGCCTGGCTTAAAGTACTGCAGTCCTAGGCACATATGTAGATGCTGCACCCAGGAGCAGTTGACTCTGGTGTAAACACCCTTGTCCCCCAGTCATCCACATCAGCATCTATGCATGCAGTGCTGCAGAGTTTATTAGTTTACTGTGGCCTAATAGGCCCTCACGTGTACACACTAAGATGTTTACTGTGGAGCTAATTGGATAACTCCACTGTAAACATCTTCTGTAGATGCACCCAGATTGACCAGGAGTAGATAGATGAGATTCAACAAGGAAAACGCAAAGTCCTGCCCTTAGAACACAATAATTTAATGTACAAAAACAGACTGGAAAATGACTGGCTAGGCTGCAGTATTGCAGCTAAGGACGTGGGAGTTAGTTTACCAGAAGCTGAATATGAATCAGTGTGCTCTTATTGCACCAAAAATAAATAAATAAAACCACCAGCATACTGGGCTCTGTTAGCAGGAGTATCACTTGCAAATCAAGGGACGTGATTCTTCTGCTCTGTTCAGCACTGGTGAGCTCTCATCTTGACTGTTGTCCTGTTTTGGACCTCACACTTTCAAGAAGTATGTGTACAGACTGGTAAGAGTCTTGCACAGAGCAGCAAAAAGTACTGGGGACCTGGGAGGCAATGCAGAAAGGCTGAAAGAACTATGGTTACTTAGTCTGGAAAAGAGAAGACTGGTGAGGGATTTGATAAGTCTTCAAATACCTGAAAACCATGTGGGAAGTAGATGTTTTTGGGCCTGTAGTGATAGAAATGGGATTACATTTAGTAGTACAAAGTCCAGTGCCATGCATATAAGGACTAATAACAAGAATTTCTCTGTTAAACAGGGAGCTCAGCAGTTGGAAATGCTAGGGCAGAGAGACATGTCTATATCAATTTATTGTAGGTTGATTTATGAGCCACCTGTTTGGTACAAAAGGCAGACACTAACTTAGAGTACATCAAACAAGCTGCTTCCAACAGAGGGGGAAGTATTAATGTCTTTGTATGAGAAGCTAGTAAAACATCTGGAGTAGTATATAGCTTTGTTTACCCATGTTCAGGAAAACTGAATTCAAGTTAGAAAAGGTGCAGAAAAGGACTATTGGGCTTATCCATTTTTTGATCATCTTGTTTTGGGAGGAAACTAAATGATTTCTGCTTGTTCAGGTTTAACCTAGAAGTACAAAGGTAGAGAATATGACTCCCATTTATACACGGGGGTGGGGGAGAGTTGTAAGGGAGGGAATATAATTGAAACTAACAGGCAGTATTGGCGAGAGCAAATTAATATAAACTAGCCATATATAAATAAGTTTTGGTTCGTAACTGGCAGAAGTTTTCCAACTATCAGAGCAGTGACTTCTAGACTGGTTTTCTGATGGGAGTAATGGGTTTCAGGAGTTAGAATAGCATTGAGTAGCAGGGCTGTGCGAAATGGCAGCGTTCCATTTCGAATTTGTTTGGATTCGAAACTGCTGTTCCGTTCCTTTCCGTTCCATCGAAACAGTTTCGCTGTTTTGTCCATAGACTATAATGGGGAAACTTGAAACAGCCTATAACTTTGTCATTTCTGGCCTTATTTGGAATAAACTTGCAGGAATGGTAGCCCCTTCTGAGGGCATGAAGCCTGCCAAGTTTGAAGGAGATAGGTGCAGGGGGGTTTGGGGAAACTGCACCCCAAAGTCTTGAAAGCAAAACTCATGTCATGTGTATGCGTTAAGCCACAGTGGGATCAAAGCTGCAGGCATGCTAGCCCCTGTGGAGGCCACAAAGGCTTGCAGGTTTCAAGGAGATAGGTGCAGGGGTTTGGGGGAACTGCACCTCAAGCTGTGGACAAGCAAAACTGGTGACATTGTGTGTGTTAAGGCGCAGGAGGGCGAAAGCTGCAGGGATGGTAGCCCCTGCTGAGGCTATGAAGCCTGCCAGCTGTCAAGGAGATTGGTGTAGGGGCTTCTGGGGCTCTGCACCTCTAGCTGCTGACAGGCAAAACTCGTGACATGGGTGCTTGTGGAACTGTCTGTCTTGGACCAGAGTGGGGTGAAAACTGCAGGCCTGCTAGGGAAGTAGCAAGTAAGGAATCCTTTAGAAGATCAGTGCTGCTGCTAGCTGTAGTTACCTGACGCTGAGCTGCTGGAACACAGACAGCTCACTAACTGACACCAAGGCAAAAACTAAGCAGGGCAGTTTAAACAATGCTGCCTTCTTTGCAGTTTTTCCATCCCTCCCCCAGAGCCCTGGGGTTGGAAGGAACCCAGGGAAGGATGCCAGTCACTGGTCAGCTACACAGTCAATAATGAAAGCACTCCTTCCCCTCTTCCCCTTCTCGTTCCTTAATTTAGTTTCCCTTTCCCTGCAGGCATTGAAGGCAAGCCGAGCTTCAGCTTTGAAAGTCAAAACATTTCGAGTTGCCTCGTTTTGTTTTGAGGCTGTTTCGATAATATTTATTTTGTTTTGATTTTGCCGTTTCAATCTTGAACGAGTGGAAACAGCATCGAAACAAAACTGGCGGCAAAATTTCGCACAGCCCTACTGAGTAGCTTGATCCGTCTGTAAAAGAGATTATATGATATGGTATTTTGAGAGCAGGAGACTGGAAAGGAGAACTGAGAGTCCTGTGTGGGCTGCTTCATTTTTTCCCCAAATGTGTGAAGGATCTGTATTGACTTCAGTTGAGGGGATTGGGCTGAGGACCCCCAAGATCCAGGTTGTCTGGGGCAGTGCCAACAATTACAGTACAGTAGAACCCTGATTTACATGAGTATTGCATTTCGGGGCAATTTCATGTAAGTCGAACTTGCGTAAGTCAGGATGACTTTCCCCATAGGAAATAATAGAATAGTGAGGGGTTGCGAACCACAGTCATAGTTTTTTTTTCCCCTTTTCTCAGTGGAATCACCTGTAGGAAGTGCATCTAGCATCTCACCTATGCATTTTGAGATGCTATTACCACAATGGTGGCACAACTCCGCTTGATTCTGTCTGCAAATCTTGTGAGGCGTTTGCGTATATATGCGAATCTCACGAGCGTTCGTGTATATACATGAATGACGCGCATCTCAAGGGGCATTTTCCAGTCCGGACCCTAATAAAAAAATCGCGTAAACATGAGATACACGTAAGTTGGAATCACATAAATCAGGGGTCTACCGTAGCTTAAACCCGTTCTTGATACCTTCACAGGGTCAAGCTCTAAGTGAAGCAAAACCAGTTTTTAATGCATTTATTTTGAAATAAGGGATCTTTTAATTTTCCGTTTTGTTTTTTTTTTCTTTTTTCCTAACTAGTAGGAAGTTCAAACAAGCTTTTGCACTTGTTTTTGTAATTTGTATTCTATAATCTCTCTCATTGTATATTGTTTATCTTTGGGAAAAGATGTTCTGTAAACTACAGTTTTAACACCATCTTAAGGTAATTGTTGTTCTACTTGTACAGTTGTTTTGTGAGTACTTTCAAAATGGTTTTATTGTTCTGTTCCAAAGTAAATAAGGATGTTACCTTTTAAAGGTTTATTTTATTTTATTCTATTTAAGCTTTCATCCGCTGTTTTTATTTTGTTTTCTATCTACCAACGTGCTTTTAAAGAATGGAAAGTGTATAAAAGTAGTCCAATATTTCTTTTTCTACTGTCATGATTTAGGAAGATCAGATTTCATATTTTATTTAACATTCTTTTTTGTGGCTTTCTTTGACCTGTCTTTGCAAAGAATGTATTTTTAACCCCTTTCTTGTGCTTACACTTTTCTTGGCTGCTCCTTTTTGTTGTTGTTGTTGTTGTTGCTTTGATATAGAAGGTGATTATTATAAAATTTTAATGCTGTACAGAACCACAATAGTGGGGATTTGGGGGGGGAGAGGTGTGAAAGGATATCACATGTGCTATATCAGAATTTCTTTTTTCTTTTTTTAAAGGGCCTTAAGGGTTCCAGTGACAGATTACACATTTGAAGACTGCTGTCTAGCTTTGGCTGAAGGACAGCTCCGTCTTCCTTCAAACACTTGTCTCCTGGAATTTGCAAAGCTTGTGAGAAGTCTTGGGTGAGCACATCACATTCATTTTTATTTGATATCATTGTGTATAGTGCTATTTCATGTAATTTCATTTTCGCTCTCTCACAACTTAGATATTTTATTAAAAGTGGAACTGCTTAATATTGCAAACAAGGAATACATATGCATATTTCAAGCAATACCACACAAGAGATTAGTTTCAGCAAATGCCCTGTTTCTAGCTTCTGTGGGGAAAGTTTGTCTGACCTCTCTTAAGGATTCTTTCCTTCTCTCCCTCTTCATCTCACCATGGACTTTTTTCTGACTGGATAGAGCCATGTAATCTGACCCACGGTGCTCCCCCCAGCTCTGGAAATTTGGTGGTGGGGAAGTGATGGAAGTTAACACTGCCATCTTTTCCCCATTGCTGAATTTCCACGCCCCACATGGCTGGATCAGGACTGGTCCTGTGTGGAGGAATTGAGTCTCATTCCTGCGTGTCTGGTCACCATTGTGATACAGCATTAAGACTTAAGCTCTGTGCACTCAAGAGAAGGGTTTGAAGCCCTTGCTTTATTTGGGGGCCACTCTGCCTTGAGTAATTCTCCCTCTTCACTCCTTGAGGTTTATAAGAAACAGGTTTCTGGGAAGGAATTTTTGCCTTTTCTGTGGATTAGTCTGGGCAAACATGGGATTTTCTAACCCCCATTGAGAAGCCCAGGGACCTGATGGGTAAGTTGTGACACCACCCAATTTACAGTCTGGTTGGTGCATAGTATGGATAGTAGTGAATTGGAAGCGGAAGGATTAGAAGTAGATTATGTGAAGGGATATCCAAAAGGAGATTTGAGAATGGCTTGGATAGCTCCTAACAACTTTCGTGTTTGAGGAGACAACTTTCTCTTCTTCCTCCCAATAATTCTTTTTGTCATAGGAGAGGGTGATGGGAGTCTTAGAAGGACTGCTCATGGTACTGGTAATGTTACCATATGTCTTCTTTTTGGATCCTCAGATCTCCATCCAGGCGGTTTTTAAAAATATGAACACGTCTGGGTTTTTGCTCTGGTCAGCATCCAAGTTTTTCCTGGCACTTCCCACCTTTCTTTCCCTCGCAAGGAGCTGCTTGGGACTGGGGAGAGCAGGGGAAGGGCAACTGGAGGCAGGGGGTGCTGTGTGCATGCGCATACGCACATGGCCGGCATGCATCCAGGCAGGGTGGTAGGAGCAGCCCTGGCAGCTGGATGTAGGTAAGTCTATGGGGAGCAGGGGTTGGAGGGCTTGGGGACTTCCAGGGGGCATGGGTGAGTGGATGGGTTTGGCAGAGGTTGGGTGTTTGAGGAGTGACAGGTGCCTGCCGGTGCTAGGGGAAGCTGTCTGGATGCTGGTACTGCAGCAGGGCATGGGAGAGGCGCCAGCCCCCCCAGCAGGGGAAGGGGGTAGAGGGGACCCTTTGGGGGCAGCAGGGAGCTGCGTGCCCAGGCCAATGCCACTGGGGCCAGTGCCCTTGCTTGTAGGTGTTTGGGCAGTCAGGAGACTGCCCCAACAAGGCTAAGGGGAGCAAGGCTAAGCTGCAAGGCTAAGGTGAGCAAGGGCCTGTGGGTCGGGAATGAGGGGCACTGGCAGGGCTGGGGGAGCTGTGGGTTGGGATTGAGGGGTGCCAGGGAGGTGTGGGGGACTGTGGGTTGCAAGTGTGGGGCACTGGCAGTGCCCAGGGGCCACAGGTCAGTAATGACAGGCACCAGCAGGGACAGGAGGGATGCAGGTCAGAAGTGAGGGCCAGCATCAGGGCAGGGTGGGCAACAACAGAGGCAGGGCACCAGCATATTGCTGCTCCTCCCACAATCATATACACCCCCCTCTCAACAGGTGTCCTCCTTTTTGAAATTGGATATATGGTAGCCCTAAGTATTGGAATGAGGAGTTACAGATGGTAGCTCTGTTAGGGGACACGGCTTATGAAGGAAGGATCACCCACACTGTTTGTAATAGCTGCATCATTTCCAGATGCATTTCTTAATGAAATGGTGGCTTAGCTGGTGTCTGTTGTCTTCACGCCCCTGGGATAATCATTCTGGACCCCTGTAGTAGATTCAAGGCATTAATACCTTCACCATAATGAGTTTGACCCTATTGAATTCTGTTTTATTTATGCTATTCCTTATTTCTTTTCAGTTGTTAACATGCACATCTTTACACACCATTAACATGCAGTGCTACCTCAGCAGCTTTGCTTTTTTCATCTGCCCTGATTAGTTTATGGCCTATAATGCCTGTGTCTCAGTTCTGCTCTTCCGCCATGTTTGTTACCCCCTTCATATCCAGTATCCTGCACCAGAAGTCCCAGGTTCTCTATTTGTGCTAAGGCTTCTTGCATTTAGTGTACAAGCACTTCGCATATTTCTTACTGACCTCACCAAGTTCCTAGCCAGATTAGGTATTTTCCTTAACTGTATCACCTACATAGCTATTAGTATTTAGTATTTTCTTTGTTCTTCCTTCCCATGTGCTACCCTCAGGCATCTTTTTAATCTGTTGCTGCATCCTTGTTTACCTAGTTTTCTTCTGTACATTAAACGAAGTGTAAAGATAGGGTATATAAGTACCTTTCACTTCCAATCTGATAAATATGATGCTTCTGGCTGGTTAAAATCTTTCCTGTTTCTTTTTCATTTTGTATTTTCTTTTTTTAGTATGATTCTCTGTCCAGTTCTGTTATCACTCTTCTATCTACTTACAACCTCTCTGGAGGAAACTTGCTGAGTCTAATTGCTCAAGAAATCTTCATTTGATCAGATGCTATGCAGCATTGATAGTTGTGTTTCTATACCATGTATCTTCTCCAGTATGGCCACCAGTTTGCTCTTCATATGGCAGATCTCTTCTGACACTAGACACGTCCAAAGCAAATGAAGGCAATTTATTCTCTTTGGCATAATTATCCATATGCACAGTCTGCTACTGAGGCGCTTGCACTCAGCACTCAAAGGACTGTTTGGCCTGCAGTACCTGTTCAGGTGTGCAGGTGCCCTGATTTTTTTTTTTTTTTAATTTGTTGTTCTTGCCAAAGTGCAAAGGAAGTGGTGTTTCAGTTGCTGCTCTCCTGTGACTGTGAGATCCCACCTGTGGTTGAACCGGTTTATTGCTTTGAAGTAATTGGCTGTAGCTGTGAAATACCCATAGACAAGTACTCATCAATGACTGAGAAATTTCTTATCTAACTGTAATTCTTCTTTGAGATTAATTGTCCATAACCATGTTCTGCAGCCTGACTGTTACATTACCTGTTCCTTGTAATCCTGTATACCTGGGATTGTGTGGGTCAGAGGAAACTGCAGTGCAGTCAGTATATTCTTCCCTTTTGTGTCCTTGCTCCGATCGGGGTTCGTGTGCGCCAAATGGGGCTGCTAACAAAAGTCTCAGAGGTTGAGTGTGTGGAGGGAAGTGCATCAAGAGTGGAATGTGCATGTGGACAACACGTGTCTAAGAACTCCAGGTTCTGTAACGAGTGACCTCTCATTTCCTTATCTTTGTATGCAACCTGGTGTTCAGTTATGTTAAAACAGTAGGAATCATCCTCCCTTTTCTAACCTGTCCCTGAAACACAGGAATTGCCACCTGAGTCCTATAGTTCTAGGCTGTTAAGACTAGCCCCCTGCTATGGTAGGTAGGTATGAACTGTAAGAGGTCCTTTCCATTGATTTAGTCCACCAGTTTTTACTATCTTCTGTCATCCGTGGGTTGTTTTGTCTTCCTTTTAGATGAGTCCTTGCCAAATAGTAATTTAGGGATGAATCTGTACTTAAATATGCATTATGAGACTTATTATGTAGTCAGTTTCCAATTAATTTACTACATCCTCCATCAGTTGTTATATAGTGTTAGTTTTTAGTTATATTTATGCTATACTGAGTAACATGTTTTATTGAAATTTCATTATGTTACTTCAGCAGTTATCTTTATCAGCCAAGTTTTAGAATCTTGTCAGAAACCTTATGAAGGTAATGTCACTGGACCTGTTTTTCATAAAATCATATTAACTGATAATTTTACCATCTTCAGTTAAGAATTTGATCAGCCACACTGATATATATTCTTTCTCCCTCCCTCCCCCTCTTGAACTGATGCTAAGTACAATTCTGTTAGCACCTGGCAGGACATCTAACTCACTATATTAGACATTAGGCCAGCATTACATTTTTTCTCCAGTAGAAAAAAGTCTTCCCTGCTTTTCTGAAAGTGAATACTGTTGATTAAGAGTTCCTCTGAAAGTCACTTTGGTCTGTTTTATTTTAAAAAAAATTGGTTTTAATAGTTGATTTTTTTTAACTCTCTCTCATAATTACTATTTTATCATTAGAACTACGTTGATTCAATGAATACTTTTTTTGCTTTATGGATAATTTTGCTTTTTATTTTTGGTAGTTTGGTATTTTTGACCTATATTATTACAAGGGTTCCTTATTTTCGTTAACTCCACAAGCTATGGACTCTTAACAGATATGTCTCCCTTATCTACTTGCTTTTTTCTTTATTTGTAGTTAAATTCATTGCTATCATTTTCATTGTCATCTTCACTTCCCTTTTTCTCTAGAGTAGGAATTTTTTTTTTTTAAACTACCAGTGAACTCCCATGTTTGTGGGATTGTAGTTTTATGGGTATTGAAGTAAATCACTATACATGGTAACAGTGCTTATTACCCACCCACTTTAAATGAAGGCAGAAAAGACTGTTCCCATCTACTGTGGCTCTGAAGCTATTTGCTTAAGACGGTCACATGGAGGATCTTGTTCATGGCTTGGCTCATTGCCATCTCAGCTTTGTAATGAAAAATCATTGAAACTCCCCTGGCTCTTAAGCTTTGATTTTTGGGGTGTGCAGAGTCAGAATTTACTAGGAAAGATGCAAATTGGGCCCTCTAGTCATCTGTGCATTTTTCTAGCAGGCTTAAAGTATTGTCCTCCAAACACTCCAGTCCAGTTCTTGATTTGCTATAGTCTTCAAAGAAAAAGTGCTCAGGAGATGCTCCATCTCATTGGCAGTCATTCAGTCTCTACTACATCCCAGTAATGTCTTTTTCACATCTGTGCTTTGCATTTCATCCATGTCTGGTCAGTTCCCTCAGACTTTTATCTAATTTTCATTAAATGTTAGGGCCACCTTTTGACTTTTACACTTTGCCTATCTTTTCTCTGGTCCATTGCTTTGGCTCATAGATTCTACTCATTTTCTTTGTTCAGCATTTTCTAGCACTATCTCATTTAAAAAGAAAATAATTGTTATATTTTGGCCAGATGTAAATTAAGAAAGGAAAGCAAGCCATACTGACCCTTCATAGAACCTGATCACCAGACAGTTAAGAAATTAGCTAGACTCCTGAGTTGTGAACACCAGTAGAAAATAGTGGATATAATCTTTAAATGGGTTTCACATCTCAACAACATCACTTTGGTTTTCTGAGGTCTGAGTTATAGCTAATTTTTAGCCAGCTATTTGGCTAAGACTATTAAAATAAATAAAGCTGGGTGGTGTCACCTATACTAAAACAAACCCACCAAAATCCTTGTATTGTGTGAGGTTTGTGGAGGTTGGTTGGTTGGTTTTTTCTGTCCTCTAAATAAGTTGAACAGTGTTGAGGTACAGATAGACTTGCAGGGTACTTTGTAGCAAGAGAGCAATGAAGCAAATTGTACGTTCTGGGATCTTGCAGAAAGAAAAGAATGAGGTCAGTGCATGCCATGAAGTTTTCAGGCAAATTGGTACCTTTTGATCAGCATGGTCAAGCCCATGAGATCAAGTAATAATGTGGATTCTTGATTTACATTCATCTTCAGGAAAAGATAATTGATTCTTGGTGCTGTTCCTGGACTGTACCTGGGCATTTCTTCCTAGTTCTTTTGGATGCAAGAGAGGTGAATTCAACTTCCAGAAGGTCTTGCTGCAAGCTTTTCAATAAGAGCCCAATATGAACAAGAGAAGATAGCCAGATTTGCCTTTGCCAAGTCATAACCCTAGTTCAATGGGTACAGTTTATCTTAAGTCTGAGTAGTTTTCTTTGCCAAAAAGGCCTTACTCTAGAATAGGTTAGGCATCACTGCTGGATTACCTAGGTTACTTATGTCCAGCATTTCATCTGGTTGTGACCCTCTGCTCTTAGTTGTGGCCCAAGAAGCACTTTAAGAAGTGAAGTCTTATTGATGATGTGCCATCTAACTTGCACCCACTCACGACTAAACTGAGTCAGTCCAGTACTTCTTGGGAGGTAGCTTCCCAAGAAGGTAGTCCTCTGTGGCTTTTTCAGTGTCAAATTGAGCCTCTGATGTGAGCTGGGATCTCTCTGAATAGCTCTTCTCCCATCCTTCCCTAGAGCACAGGGGCTCATTAGCTACTCTATTGGTTAGTGAATGCATCATGGGATAGATACAGTAGCTCTGGCTTCTTTATGGGTCCTTATGGAGAGCAGGGTAGAGGTTCCACAGGGCCTAGCAAAAATCAGTCCTCATCAGACACTGAGGAGACCAGGGAAGTCCTGGAAAAAGCTGAGAGAAAGAGTAGTAGGAGCTGGTTATGGCAGCTGAACAAATTTCTGGCGGTTTCTCCTGTTGTGGGGTGGGGAAGAGGGGGAAGAATTATAGAAGATTTCTTACTTTGCTGTTGGAATGGCAAAAAAGTAGAACAAAACAGAGCAGGGAAACTGCCTATAATATGAGCGGCAGCCCACTTACTTGCTTTGGCCTCAGGCTGAAAAGATTGGACACCCCCATTGTCCTAGATTAAGAAAGCCATCTGCCAGTGAAAACAAGTCTGTTGATCAAGGTTTCATAGACTTATTTTTTTCCCCTGAAAACCCATCCTATACACTTGGTAAAATTTTGTTTTTTGTTAATAATCTGCAGTCGACAGTAGCATAGTAGTATCAGGAGTGGACCCCTGGTCCATGAATAGGCAACCCACATACTACAGTAAAGTGAATAATAATGAATATTTAAGTGCTTTTGAGCTATTGGAAATTGAACGGAAGGGCCTGTTTTTGGAACTTTAATATTGGGGTTCCAGTGTTTTTGTTAATTCTGAATTAGGATTATGAAGTGATGCATTACATAACATCTGTTATTTGCTATTTTGTATGATAGGGGTATTTTGTGGCTAAAAACGAAAGGAAAAAAAACCCCTCTAGCTTAGTCTTTTAACTTTCCTTCTTTTTCCCTCATTCCTTATAGGCTGAAACCAGAAAAGCTTGAAAAAGATCTTGAAAAATATTCTGAAAGTGCCAAAAAGATGAAAGGTGCCAGGGTCAGTCTTAAGGAATTTGCTGCGTACTTGGAAGTTCCAGTTTCTGACATATTGGAGAACATGTTTGCCCTTTTTGATGAGGTAAGAAATACCATCATGCTTCAGAGAACTAAGAATCTTCTTGTACCATTCCAACTGGGTTTTTAAAACATATACTCAGCTTTGACCCTGGTCTGCTCACACTAAATGTTGGGAACAGCAAGGTCAGCTCTGTAAACTTTGGAGAATTTTACCCTTTGTATCCTTGTACTGTCTCTTATTTAGCACATATTGAGAATTTCAATTAACTAAATAAAATGCTGGCTTAAGGAAGAGGTACCTGGTATAGAAATCAGACTAAGCCATTTTGGTTTAAAGGTACAAATGATGAAAAAGGCATACTTGGGGTGAAGGCATTGCTGGTTGTGGTTACTGATGGTGCACAATGGATTGTTTTCTAAAACAGCAACAACTTAAACTTGGAGTCAGCAGTTTTGGCAAGTCAAATCACTTTCTTCTGCCTGATGCACTGCAAGGAGATGGTCATTTTCTTTGTCTAGAGAAGGTGGTAGCTGGGCCAGGAGGTGGAGATGTTTAATATGTCTCTAGGTGCTCTTTCCTTCCCTGAATATCAGTACTCATATGCAGGGTTAGCTTAGGGCCACTGCCATTTGAGGGAAGGTGATGACTCCCAGCTATTATGACTTGTGTGAAGTGGGAAAATGCATCCTGGAGTAACCAGTGCCCTGATGTCTGATGAGAGTCTTAAATAGTTTTGAAAGGTTAATTTTGGCTTTCGGCTGACTTCTGACCAGGGTTTTCAGAAAGAGCCTCAGGATGTTTGGAATCGGCTGTCAGTAGAATAGATCTAAAAGCCTACAGGGATCTGTATAGTATAATATAAATGCCTTTTTTACACGCAGATATGCACTGTATATTTTGAATCTTTTTAACATTCTTTCAATGGCTGTGAAGTAAATAGAGTTTTGGAACAAAATAAATTCTGGATGTGTTTTGCTGCTTTCCCCTTACAGAATGAAGAAGGCATAATTGACCTGCGGGAATTTGTGATTTCTCTATCAGTAGTATGTAGGCCATCTAAAACTTTGGAAACAATTCAGTTGGCATTTAAGGCAAGTAGCAGTTTTTTACTACATAGATGTTTTTATGAGAAAAATAAAGTGACATGCAATTTAATATGACTGGATTTTATTTCACACATTCTTCTTGCTTCACATATATATTTAAAAAAAAAAAAAGAAAACCCCTAAATACTGTATTGGAGATCATGAAGTTAGAGGTAAGGAAAGATGTTTCTTCTGTGGGTGGTTAACCTTACACATACCTATGCTGCCACAGGTGCCCTAGACTCATCATTAGTTACTTTGCTGTAGCAGTTTTGGTAGCTTTCAGAGTAGGTAATTCTGGCTCCTTTCACTTGCCTGGCTAGAGAGAGAGCATTTTTGGCTTCTGCCCATGGCCTGCAATCATTCTGAAAGAACTTCCTCTTATTTTTTAATTTAATTTATTTATTTATTTATTTATTTTGCCTTTTCATTATTTCTCTTTTCCCCCACACTTCTACTTTTTCCTGGGTTCTGTCTTGCGGGTTGCTTTTCCCATTGCAAGCTATTACTTTGTATTTGTTTTCTCTTCCCTTTGTGGTTAGCTAAACTAGGAGGGGTTTTTTAATGCTTTTTAATATTCAGCCATTTCTTTCTGTTCCCTGTGGTAAGTTTAGAATAATACAACATTCCTGAGAAATGCTACATTTTCTTCTCCTTTACACTGGGCACTTGTAAAGACCGTAGAGCTTGTCTTTTTGGCTATGTCTCACGGAGAAAATTAATGGGCTTCACCTCTAACCATGGATCCAAAGGGCACCTCTGCTCCCCTGGCACTGGCCATCGAAACAATCCAGAAATCAGCTACAGGTTGCAGATCCAAGACCTGGCTCCTGCAGGAGGTCACCTGTCCTTGGCTCCTTAAGGAAGTATGCCCCACTGTCATCTTGCCTCCCTAAGTCCTAAATATCACAGCCTGGTATAGTTATCATTGAAGTTCACAGTGGCTGTGGTACCAGTGTTCCAGTACTGTCCTCCATTTACAATGATTGACATAGGTCTGTTGCTAAGAACACTAGTAATAAGTGGCATAGGGCAGGGATCAGCAAAATACAGCATGTGGAGCCATGGTTTTGGCATTTGGCAGTGGGCAGGAGGAGAGGTGGGGCTCCCTGTGCTGTACCGACAGCTCTGGTGGAAGGGAAGCTGTCCCTGCACTGCACCACAGCCAAGACAGCAGGGAGAAGCAGCAGAGGTGGGCTGTCTTAAGCCCTGCCTTCTCCCAACTCAAGGTGATTCATTCCAGCCACCTACCAGAAAATGTTTCTGACCCCTGGCATAGGTGCTTCTCAGTTGCTCTGCACCACTAGGATAGCCAACACCAGGATGGAGCATGAAAGGCTTGCCGCCACCACTCTGGTCGTGCATGTAGTCTTGACAGCCTGCTTTCTTCCCCTAAGGCACTAAATATCTTTATACTCCACAGAATCAGTACTTGAAGCCTGTGATGACCACAGTTATGCTTTGTTTATGGCGTCAGTATTGTATGCTGGCCATGCTAGTTCCTGGTCCAATTACTCTGACACTACCTGAGGAGGTTGGCTTATCAGAGTCCATGTCTGGGTGTTATTCCTTGCATGGCTCCACGCTGTCCATGATTCCAGCACTATGGGTGCCTATACACGTCCATTGAGTCTGCTCCAACATGCTGTAATTACAGCATGGTAATTACCGCACTCCAGCAACACGTGTATCATCAGTATCCCCACGCTGAAAAATGGTGGCAGGGACACTTTAACTAAAGCTCTCGGAGCCACTCTAATTTAAAGTACAGGTCAATCGCATCATACGCACATTTAACTTGCACGAATTCAACTATATGGGGGGTGGAGGGGTGGGGCTTGAGCTTGCACGCAGTGCTGCCGCTTACCTGGAGGCCCATTATGGCAGTGACGGCCACTGCCTTCAAAACCTCCCGCTGTCGCCATGGAGCCATGCCCGGAGCTGTGTGGCCGGCCACCGGGCGGCAGCAGCAGCGTGGTGGTGGCTGAGCAGCACACAGCCATCCCCACCACCACCCCACGCTGCGCTGCTGCCGCCGGCTGCACAGCTCTAAGCACGGCGCCGCGTGCAAACTCAAGCCCTGCCCCCTCTCCCACCCCACATAGTCACCGATTTTCACCTTACGCACTGACTTTAGTACCTAACCCCCATGTAAGATGCGACTGACCTGTACCCCCTGCCCTCCACTTCCCAGAGTATGTGTATAAATGCCTCATGAGTCAAATGACTCTTTAAAGGGATGCTGTCCTTTTAAGACAGTGGTCATCAACCAGTGGATCTTGATCCACTGGTAGATCTTGGAGCCTCTCCTAGTCTATCCGAGGCTGGGGTGGGGGGCTGAGTGCTGGCATGCATGCATGCACGTGCCCCAGCCCAGCAGGTCAGTCCATGGGGGAGGGAAGGGGCCGTGGCTAGATCAAGGCCCCTGCGGTGGGGGACAGTGCCACAGAGGCAGGAGCAGGGATAAGTTGAGTGGGGCCCCGGCCAGGTGGGACTTACCTGCTGTGGAGGCATGCCCGCAAATCATTTTTTTTTTTCCTCCCTCTACCTCAGTCTGCTCCCTCCTTTCTCTCCCCACAAACTTACCTGCAGGGTGAGGGACGAGGGGAGGGGTAGTGGCAGCACATGGTAGATCTTGGGTTGCTTTTAAATACTAAAGGTAATCTACTTAAAAAGGTTGGAGACTACTGTTTTAAGATGCCCTCAGAGGCTCCATGGTTCCCAGGCCAGGAATCTCAGGGTTCCTGTCTACTTCTGATGCGACTTTTGGATTGTCATTTTCTCCCTGAGTTCAAGGATGGGTCTAACTGTGTGCTGTCTCATCCCGTGCTGTTGATGTACCATATGCCTCTGGAGTAGCTACCTATATATTTTCAAATCAAATGGGTTCTCTGATTCCAAATTCAAGAATGCAATCCACATGGCAATAATCCATACTTGTCATCATCATTCTGGCCAAGACTGTTGTTCTAGAATTGTTTCATCACATAGGATGATCTTTGTGATGTTCAGGAACTGATGTGCCATGCAGCAGACTGCAGTTCTTGGTGGGGGACGGGATTCACTGAGCTTTCACAAAGGCTCAGTAAACAAGGCTCTTATACACACTCCCAAACCAATCTGGCAGATGCCAGGTATTTTTTCCCCGACTGAAAGTCTGTAGCCAAAGAACCAACCATCTCCCAAAGGGGTGGAGCATTTTTTACACTCACCCTATGCCGTCTTTTGCTGCTGGTAATGCAAAGAGAAAGCAGCATAGTTGACCTCACAAAGGAGCCTAAACTTTTGGACTTATTTGACTCTTCTACTAGCTTGCAGCTTTAAATAGCAGACAGTGAGTCTCTCCTTGCCAGGTGTGACTCCACATGTGTGGTCATATTGCTAATGTTGTAGACTCCTTACCAATAGGACAGAAGAAAGCCCTTCTACCCCTCATTTCCAGAGAGGTAATGTTATCATTTGCTTACAATTTGCCTTGAATGCTGCTGAAACATGATTTGTGTCTTTGGCAGTTGTCATGATACGATCTTATTGGCAGCAGGGTTCTGATTTTCTGAAGGTCAGGAGGGTTGCATTTGAGGTTTTGGACTGAGATCTGATAAAGCGCATACCCCTGAAGTTTCAGTTGAAGGCTCCAAAGAGAAAGCCAAAGTACTGTCTTCTGCCCATAAGCAGCCTCTGCATACATTATCACCCATTGAAAATGGTTAAAAGGACCAATGGATTAAAAACAGGAAACATTTCTGTGTAGCACCAGATTCTTCCTATTATGCATTGGGTAACAGACAGGGCCTTTGCAATGATGAGATGCCAGTAGCTCCCTTTGGTGTCATTCTCTCCCTTAGTTTCTCCCTTTTAACAATCATTTGGACCATTTTTATTCAACCTGGGCTCAAATTCCATTGAGCTAGTAGTCTCAGGATAGGGTAGTAAAGGGGATATATTATCTAGTTTGCGTTCATTGTGCACCACAGGCCCCCTCTGTCCCTTTTCAGAGACTTCTCTCATTTTTCTACAGCAGGAAGAACTCTCCTTCCTTGGCTTTAGAAATGGTCACAGCTCCTGCCATTCCCAAACCCTGCATCTCAGGCAAAGGGTTCTGCAATAGTTCCTTTCTAGTCCCAAGAGGAAGGAAAAGCTAGAGCCCCATCTTGGATATATGAAGACTCAACACTTCCATTTGAAGCTCAGTGTCAAGATGGTTGACTTTAGTACTGAATATATCTTTGTGGGAGGAGGTGAGGTTCACACCTTTCCTACAAGACTCCTATTTCCACATTTCCTTGCACTTTGGTGGGTCAGGACAATGTCCTTCTATTTTGGTGCGTTAGTGGACCCAAAAATGCTGACCTAGTTCCTCTTAGTTATGGATGCTCCTCTTGGATTAGCAAGAGGTCACAATTTGCCCCTCTTGAGAAAATTATCTGGTAAAAGGGAACTCTTCTATTGAAGTGTTGCAGAGCCTGGTGAAGCTTTTCTGTGCATTTGACTTCTTGGTGAACATGCAGAAGGTCAAATCTGGTTCCCACGTCAAAACTAGTTCACAGTAGCCACTCCAGATTCCATGGTTGCAAGGGCTTCCCTTCTGCAAGGTTGCTTCCAGTCCCTATGAGAGGGAGTTAGTGCGGGTTGACAACTGCCCAGTGACCTCATCTAAAGATCCTCTCAACTGCAGCCAATATGGCCACCTGTACTTTTGTAACACCCCTCTCCAGACTTCATGTCAGGTATATAGTATGTTCCTGCCTGAGAACTGCATATTTTTGAGGGCAGAGTCCTCAGAACAATGTAGTAAAGATTCCAGATGGTCCAGTTGTCACCTTCATGGTTGGGGGGACCTGCACTATAACTTGAGAGAGGGCACTTATCTGTGATGCAGGGTTTCCAAATGCTGCAGGAGGAGAGAACGCTTGTCAACATGTTGGAATGCAGGGTGGTACAGAGACATTATTAGGCTTTCCTTCACTGTATTTAAAGGCACCATGTTCAGCTTGTGACACCACACAGTTGTAATATGCTTCGTCATTGGGCAGGGTTGTGCCAGATCTGCCTCTGGATGGAAATGGTCCGTCTGCCTGTGGCTTTGGTGCACCCAGCAACAAGTATACCTGACCACTGCGCACACTTCCAGTTTGCCCAGTACTGAGGCAGACCATCTCACCATACTGTTGACCTTTCCTAGCTAGTATCCAGACTTGCCTATAATGGTTCACTTAAGGATCAGCTAAGGTTCTCCAATGCTTCTATATTTCACTGCCTTTGCTTAGAATTTGGCACTCCAGCTGGTGTTTGTACTGCCTTTGTTCATTGCCTTTACCTCTGCAACTGGGCACTGCTGCATTGTGGCTTCAATCTCTCTAACCTGTGTCTTGGATATTTTGTGTATTTTGTCTTCAGTGTTCTTAATTGAGCTCTTTAGTGTCTCATTGTCTATGCCTGTACTTCAGCATCTTTGGGTTTCATTGTTGCTGCTTTGAATTGTTTAACAAAGGGCTGTCTAACTTTTAAGCACACACCCTCCAGCTACTCCATGAGCTGCACCAAAAGGGCTTCTGTGCTGCATGCCAGATAGATGCACCCCCTGCTAAAGTGCATGTTTGCCTCAACCCCCCCTGGCCACAGAAAGCAGAAGCTGGAGGAGGGAGGGAAAGTCCAGAGACTCCAGCTGCTGTTACAACTGGAGCACTAGGGAGAGTGGCAGCCACATGGGGTGAGGGAGGGAGCTGCAACTCAACCTCTTGCAGGTCACATGTGGCCTGTGGGCCACTAGTTGGACAGGCCTGATTTAATCAAAACCTTTTACCTCTCTCTCTTTTTTCCTTTTGCAACATGTTACCTCCCATTAAAGGAAGCTTAGTTTCAAGAGGGACAAAACTTGCAGAACTATATCAACAGATGTGTTCAGGACGGGGAGGATGGGTGTTATCTTGGTTGGCATTATATGCATGTTTGCGGCATATACCCAAAGGTGATATTCTGTGCATTTAAGAAACTGAGCAAGCAGCTCTAATATATGATTGAAACATACCATGGATACTTTTCATAATATCTCTTCAAGGTTGGTTGAGAGTGATTTGGAGGAAGAACACATAGTATAGCTCCAAGTCAACTGACTGGAGAAGTGACGAGACTTGTGTTATCACCACTGGTTTACATGCAGACTTGGGGTTTTCCTTTGGCAAAAATGTGAGGCAGCCGTATTTCTAGAGCACCCAGGACTGTTTTCCTACAATACCTCCCTGTGTCCTTGTTTCTCTATTTCATTTTTTGAAACTGGTGATCATCAGAAGAGACTTAACGTCAACAGATGGACATAGTCTGGTAGTTTGAGATGGTTAGGATTGTAGGGGCTGCCTTCTTGCTCTGTACCAGAGGTTTTGGGAATTAAGAAACCTCACATCCATTAGGAAAAAGGATATACTAGTTTGCAAAAGCAAACTGTGGATCACCATGCCAATGCCTACAGAGGAAAAGGCCAGGAGGAGTTGTGAAAGAAGATCATTCTGTGGTTAGTTCTTTACCCTAGGAGAAACATGAGAAGCTCAGGAGTCTTACAGGGGTATAGACCTGGCCTGCCTTCAAATTTTGAACAACCTTTGGTACACATAATAGTTCTGGAGGTGAAGAATTCTTAGGATTTTAGAGGTCTGATACCCCCAAAGGTGCTCCTGTAACTAGTGTGTCACATCCCCTATATCAGGCAGTTCTGCAGCATTTCTGTTTTGATATGCACTTAGCTGAACTGGAGAATGAAATCCGACTAAGTCAGTGGTGCTCAGGGCTTTGGCCATGTGGGCCAGATGAATGACATGGAGCCAGTCTGTGGACTAGATTGGGGCCTGTGCCACCCCTGTCTAGCCTCACACATGGGGGCCTGGCCCAGTGCTCCCCACACCCTGCGATTGGGCCTTGCACCCCCGAATTAGCAGGCAGGACCACAGCCTGCAAGGCTCTCCATGGACCCAGTAGTATGATGCTGGGGGCTGGATCTGGCCTATGAGCCGGAAGTTGAGTGCCTCTGGATTAAGTGAATGTATAAAAAATCTTCAGAACAGCTAGATTAGATTGTGGCAAATTAGAACTTCTTCTTTTGTGGCTGGCTGGGAAGAAGTGTGATTCTTTAGCACCAATCTGAATAATCAACTTCCAGTGTTCTACTTTTCTAGCAGTCTTTTTTCAGTACTAAAAATAGTGTCTTTTGGGAAATACACTCCTAGGCACCTTTGCATGAGACCCCCTGGAAGCAAAACTTGTCTCCTGAATTTTGCTACAACAGGTTGGTTATAACTTGCTAGCCCAGACTGATTAGGGTCCTCGGTTTTGTGTTGAAACAGCTGATTCTATCCAACTTCACTCTTAGTCTTTAAATGTAGTTTAGAAGCAAGATTTGTGATTTTTTTCTCATTTTGCAGCATGTGCATTCATTTGTTGTGCATTATTTATGAGAAAGGGAACATCTTGGAGTGGGTGCTTGGTTTCTTGAAGGGACCCATTTCAAAATTAAAGGTTCCAAGGCATCAAGGATTCCTTCGGGTCCTCTATCCACTGCTGCCCCTCCTTCCTTTTTTCTCTCCTTCCCCCTCTCCTTGAAACTGGTTAGGTTTTTTCCTACCACTGCCCCTTCTCCCCACTCTTTGACTGGCCTCTGGTGGATCCCCCTCCCCCCAGTTCTTTGACCCACTTCTGGTGGGTGGGACATAAGGTGCAAAAGGCTGAGAACCACTGCCCTCATGTAATTCCTAGCATCTTTGTTTTCCATTAAATATACAGTCCTTCTTTATCATATTAAGCTCTTGGCATTTGACACCTTGTAACAGTAAGGCTTTTTTTATGTATGCATGTAGCTCATTGAATACCATATTTGCACAATTCCACAACAAGGTTTTCCCCCCCCATTTTAACATTGGGGGTGAGGAGAGTAGTTTGTCTTGGAATCGAGTAAGGGGCAATGGGGGTGGGGACAGGCAATTTACCTGCCCCTCTCCTCTTCCCACTGACTCTGCCCCAGCTGACTTTGGTCCTCCCCACTCCCCTTCCCTTGATCCAGCTCAGTTTCTGTAAAATGAGGATAATCAACTATTTTATCTGGTTTGGGTAGCTTTATTAATTAGTAAGATCCTTGTATAGAAAGCACTGTACATATGCAAAAATGAACCTAGCTGAGATGTACTTGATGTCAGAAACAAATTTTACCCATATGGGAATTATTTTAACTTTGTTATTTTTCTAACAATTATGCTGGTAGTAATTTGCCGCCTTGCATTATTCCATAGATGTATCAGTCAGAAAATGGAACTATAGTAGAAGACAATTTAGCTTGCATTCTGAAGACTGCTATGGGTGTGTCAGAACTCAATGTAACAAACCTCTTCAGAGCTATAGATGAATGGGAGAAAGGAACAATCACATTTGGTAAGTGTTAAAATGGACTTGAAATGCTTTACACAAGTGAGTGGTCCAATATATATTAAAATACCTAGCAGCTTGTCTAACATTGGTTGCCTTTACAAAACAAAACTCAAAAGGAAAGATGATGTAGATGGAGTAATTTTAGCTAGATCAAAATGTGGAACCTAAAAGATCCATTTCCTTATTTAAGTGGTTTAATTTTCCTACCTTAGACTAGATAGTACTTGGATGAGCTTTTCTCAGGCTGCACCTGCTCTGTGATGGATTTCCATTTTTTATGATCTCTCTAACCTCCCTTGATAGTCTCTCACTGTTTTTTGCCTCTTGTGCCTCTTCCCCTGTGGTTGATCTGTCCTCTCATCTTTCCATGTGAGAAGGAAGATTTTTGGTAGTATCTTTACTAAACCAGCTGTATAGTTGGGGGACATATTAGAAAAGCTTGTGGGTACAAACACCCTTTCACTTCCTTAAATACCCTGGTAAAGAATTACTTTTGATTAACCGTGATATATTAATGAAAGAAATTGCCCACAAAGAGAAGTGGCAAAGCTTGGAAAAGAGATAATTTATTAGAAGTAGTTATAGAATAAGTAAAGAAGAGTTATTATAGATAAGTTTAATAATACAGAAGAAAACAAATATTCAAAAGGGAAGAGGTTTGTTATTGCCTGCAGACTGCAAAGAGGTTAACAGAGGGAGCAGCTCAGTTGCAATGTCTTAAGTCAGTGGTTTCTGGTGTTAAGCTTATGAATATTTGTTCTGAGATTTTTGTATGGCTTTCCCTGTCCCCTCTTGCCTATCCCATCTCCTGCATAACTCCCTTTGGGGTCTGAAACCTTAAGAGAAAAGTAGACAACAGTGACAGCTATCCTTACATTGAAGAGAATCATGTGAAATGTGAATGGCTGTAAATAGTCAAAGTGGTAGGTCTTCCTTTGTTTTTACAGGTAGCAGTCTCCATGTGACAAAAGTATCTATATGGTTTCTTTTAGATGACTTCTTCAGGTTTACAGAAACGTATCCAGACTTTGCAGAAGAGTATCTCTACCCTGACCAGACAGGAGTTGAAAGCAGTTTGGAGACTTCCTCTCTTCCAGCCCCTAATGGCTTCTGTACTGACTTCAGTCCAGAAAATGCTGAAGATAAAAAGAATCCCCAGAAGAAGAAACTGAATTGATACCACAAACATCACATTCCTCTCCTGGTGAGAGGATTATTTCTTTTCTTGAGGTCGTCTTAGTCATGTCAACTATACAGCAAATTCATTTTTTTTTGTGTAAAAACAAACCAACAAAAAACGCTTTCATTACTCTTTCATTCCCATGTGGTATATTTATCAGGTTTTTTTCAAGCAGATTTTGGAAGGCTAGGTTTTATTTTACATTCATTTCAAAAACGTTTTTGAATGGCATTTCTACCCAATAGTTTCACAGGGAACCTGTAAACTAATTCTTTATTTATTTAATGTAGCTGCAGTGGGAATAACACGGATGGAAAGGTTTTTGGTGGAAGTCAATGTAGACAGGTAGACATGCACATAAATATTTGATATATGGCAGAGAATAAAGGGGTTTTTTCATCATGAATTCAAAAGGGTTGCATTTTTCTCAAAAGGGACAGTCACAAATGAGTTACAAAACATCTTAAAGGAATGCCAGGAAAATCCATTTATACCTCTCATAAACACTGTATCTGGTGCATATGTAATCTGCAAACTATTTTAGGAATGTTTTAAGGAAGTTTTAAAAATTTGTATTGGGAGTCTTGTATCTTTTTTTTTCTTTTTGTAAAACTGAGTGCCTTAGTTATTACTATAAATCCAACTGAGCAGGGCTGATAGAAAAATTGACATTAGTAAATGTAAAAAGCTTCCTGAAAATACAGCTTTTCTGCAAAACAATGCTACAGTGGACCCCCAGAATGTGCCAGATGCCCCGAAAGGGTTAAAGTAGTGCTGGGTCTCAAAGATACTGAAAGAAAATTTGCAATCTTAATGGTAAAAATGATTTAAGCGTTCAGGGTTCAGTACAGGCTTATGTATGCATTCTACACACACAGATGCTGTCGGGGTGTAACAGTTGTATTCATTATTTAATTACATTAAAGCCTAAGCAGCATTTTGTTCATTAACCCTTTTCCTCTGAAACTTATGTTCTAAACTGAGTAGCTTCAAACAGCCACAGTTTTTAAAGGACACTCATCTGATGCACTTTTTTCTTCCTGCAAATGTGAAATTCTACCCATATCCCAAAACCAGTGTGGCCTGAGGAATACAATAAAACACATTTGGCCCTAGACCAGTGTCACATTTCAAGTTTCAGGATCTAGCAACACTATCTGGCCAGAAATGGGAACTTTATATAATCTAAAGCATTAACACGGTCAAACATCTGAGGTGCAGAAAAGCTAATCAAGGTGAATATTTGTGTTACAACACCTACTAGCAGCTCTCAAGCTAGGCCAGTGGTAACTATAGCACCTCAGTTTACAGAAGCAGGAATATAAACCCATCATTTTATTTCTCTAAAATAGTTTCTCTGTGATATGTAGTTCATAGGCAGAAAATCATGATGGCCGGGGGAGTGGTAAAGTTTATCAGCACACATTTCTGTTGACCTAGATGTATTTTGTTCATAGCTCTTTGTTAGGTAAGAGTATTACTGCCCTTCCAGGTATGTTCCAATAAAACCCTTTTATACCAGATTTAAATTATCACATCAAAAACTAGAGATAGATGCAGACCTGAGCCAGTTTCATTAATCTGAAATTAATGTTGAAGAGATGTAGTGCAAACCTATTGTGGGGGAGAGGGGGAGTCCCTCCCCCACGTCCCTGCAGTATCTAACTAAAATCAAAACAACTACATACACTGTAGAAATCCAAGGCATCCAAAGATTCTGTTTTCGAAAAACCAGGAAAGCTAAGCGTTATAGCATATAATTCTCTGCACCATAGTACCACAGGCAACTGCAGCGTAATGTGAAGATATGCAAGGTAACTTTTACATGAGCTAGCTTGGGAATATGATAAATTGACTTCTCTCCTGCCACAACTAAATTGGTATTGGTCCCTGAGCTGACTAGGTGAAGCTGTCCCAACTGCTTGGCAGTCACTCTGGACCTAAGTCGTAAAGTGCACACGTGGCCTACACCTAACATCTAGTTTGTTTTCATTTTAGCTTTAAAAAGCAGATGCTTTGGATGTCTTTGGAAGCATATGTTTTATGAGTGCAAACTTTCCTGTTTCTCTATTATTGCCAGCTCCTATATTCTACACTTTCTTTCTCATAAAGCCACCACAGAAGATAAAAGTCTCTTAATGAATGCTTTTTCCTAAGTTTTTAATTAGACTTAATTTTTGTAAAGACTCACAAAAGTTTGTATTCTGTCTATTTTGATTATTTTACACTTGGATATGCAAATTTATTTGTGCAAATTGTCTTTAACAGAAAATGTGTATTATATAGCATCGAATTTTGCAAATCTAATACAATGTGCACTTCTTCACCACCATACCCAATCTTTGATCTTACGATATTATTACCATAAAGTCATGGATATTAAATTAGGACATCTCTACCTGTAGATAAGACTTATTCTGTGGGTAGGTGTATGTAACTGGTGATTCAGAGTGCTGGGGAACAGTGGGAGCTACATACAGTATATCGTTTTAAAGGACCCTGAAAGTTGATGGGTTTTGGTTTTTTGTAAAAGAAACTGCATCTTAAAATGGTTCCTTATGTAATCACTGTGTGAGCCTCTCTCTCTCTCTCTCTTAAAATATGTTCTACTTTACATGCATCCTGCCTGCTGTTTTCGTGGTATTCTTCAGAGTAAAATACCACTCGTGAGTAAGGGTGATAAAAGCTGCTCCCATAAAAGTAAGTGGGGTATGGTACAACATCCTCTGTAATGGAGGTCTTCGATTATAAACCCCTGTTCTCTGAACACAAGTAGTTATCTAAATTTTTGCCTGCTTTGCAAGGGGGAGAGAGGAGGATGCAGTTTAATTTATCAAGACCTGCTAGGTATCTTTAACAAAGCATTTATAATTTTCCACTGTGGTGTTTTGTTTTGTTTTGTTTTGAATGAGATCTTAATAGGTGAGAGGGGGTAGAATATGGTTCCAAGATTCCAACTATAGTGGTTTTTATGGTTCTGTTCAACTAGAATTTGAGGATAAGTTTTTTGTCCAGGAAGTTTCTTCACTTCTTCTTGGGCTTAAAAGTTAAAGAAATGCTATTTAGTACAGGGACTTGAGTGGATTTTGCATTCTATCAAGTTTTTTTCCCTCTCCCATCATTCTCTTGTGCACAGCTTTTTAGTAACTCAATAGCTGTGCACCCAAAAGAGAGGATTACTGGGTAATTATGAGATTTAAACAAAACTTTAGGTTGTCTTCTAATGTCTTTGGGAACCACAGCTGGAGGCAGTACTAATTCTTCTGTATATTCCTCATGGAAACTGATCTTCACTTTCATTGTAGAGGTGAGATCCGTGTGTGGATCCCTAACACATTTTAGGAGATTTGGCCAAATTGTTTTATGCACTTAATTTACAGACAACATTGGTCAGAGCAAATACTTCCGTTTTTTAAAAATGTTGTTGTAAACAATTCCTAAGTCAACATGTTTGCAATATTAGTTTGTAAAATAAATGATAGATGCCCACATATCACTGAATTTCCAAGATGTTTTATATATCTATATTTTTGTTAGAATTTTGTTTCTCTTTGCTCACAAGGAGTACAGACACTGGTTACTGTTCTGTTTGCTAATCCCATTATAGAATCCTAATTCCTTAAAACAAATAATTGAAGGGAAACAACAGGAAAAAAAGAAACTCCTTTTGCTTTCTCCCTGGAGGCAAAGCATACCACTAAAAGGAGTAAATAGAGAGATCAGTTATTCAGATAGTAGTTCAGTAATATTTCAAAGCAATCGGATTGAACACATTTGTTAAAAACAAAACAGAATTTAAAAAAAATTATGCCTGGAGTTGGCCAGAATTTTACTTTCTCATTCTCAATAGTAGAGTTCACAAGAATACTGGTATGTAGTAAATGTTTTTTGTTTTGTTTTGGTTTTTTTGTGGGGAAGAGGGTGATAGTTACATTTTAATGTCTTTGACACCATTCTACTTCTTTTCAAACAAGAAAGGTAGATCATCACCTTGACCAAGAAAGTCAAGTGATCTGTTTGCAACCTTTGGTATTCTTGTCATTAAATGATGTCTTATGTTATGCTGCCATATCTAAGTACAACAATGGTTTCATGTTAATTGCTTGTGTTTTGTTACACCAGTACTTAAGCATTTCCATAATTAAATTGCTGTTCTTACTTCTTGGAAAAAAGTGGTAGGAGAGGATCTTTTATTTTCTGTCCCAGGTGGCATACTTCTGACTTCTTTAAATTTTAGTTTTGTAGCTTTTATAGGGACATACAGGATGCTTTGGATCCAGATCACGTGACTAAGATTCTTTAAACTATTGGAGTTAGTTATCTACCTGTTTGTATGCATGCAGAGATCAGAGCTAGCTTTAAATGAACTAGCTTAGCTGCTAAAAGCAACTGCAGTAACCCAGTGTGTGGGCTAATTTACCCTGTTGCTCAAGTGGCAGAGTAAATTAGCCTAAATGGAGCTCTGTCCTGCTCAGCTTATTTTAAAGCTAGCTTAGGTGTCTCTAAAAGGCAGTCTAATGTGTTCTATAGAAGACAGAGTAATCTACACTGCAAAGTGCAAGTCCTTCACAGCTAGAAAGGCTCCTTTGTTTGAGTGTATTAAGCATTACTGTTGTTAAACATTTCCATTATGATATGAAACCTTTATTTAAAAAGTTGGTCTTGCATCATAGATCTAACAGATCTGACTCTAATGTTCTCAGGTAGCTCATTCAACAGAAGTACCATCTCAACTGATAACATTCCTAATTACTTTGTCTTGTGGTTTGGTTGTTTGTTTGGTTGTTTGTTTAGTCCTGTGCTACCAGAGTTGCAGTAATCTTGGCAGGTTGTGGGAAAGAGAGGTGGCTCACTGATATAGTAGAATCTGGCTCCCTTTGCAGCTTTGATGAGAAATGCTCAGAGAGAGACTGGATGATGCAGAGTTCAGAGTGGCTATCCTCTCTGGCCCAGATTTTTAAAGACATTTATTATTGTTTTGCTTGGCATTGCAAGACATAAGCTACTTAGTTCAAAGTCTACTTAGAGTTAATTTACAAAAGTGAATTGGTAGTTGAAGTATCATTGACTTTTAGTACCATCACAGGCCTCAGCTACCTGATCTTGTGAGGGACATACTGCTACATCCTGCCCAAGTTGGAACCTTCTTTTTGTTTACAGCCTCACTCCCAGGGTAATTTATTTCAGTAGTTTAGGCTGGCAGTGATAAACATGTGGGCCAAGATTTTCAAGAACTGGAGGTTTAATGACTAAGCTCCTAATTGTATTTTTAGGGTTCTGACTTTGGAAAGTGCTGAGCAGCAAGTTAAGTCTTGTTGGGTTTAGCACTTTGTATATTGTACTACGTATTTGGATCTGGAATGGGCAACCTACAGCCTATGGGCTGGATCTGGCCTACAGAACCATTGGATCCAGCCCCTGGATGCAGGGCTTCAGTGGCAGGGGCTTCCTCTGTGCCACAGCAGGGAGACCTGACCACAGGGGGGGCCTCATCTGTGCTGCAGTAGGGAGAACTGGTAGTGGTGGTTGTATCCTAGTGCCCACTTGCCTACTCACTTGTAACCTGAGCAGAGTCATTTGGCCCGCAGCCTAAGAAGGTTGCCTACCACTGATTTTAGGTGATTGCATACTTACATAGGCTCCTAACTTTGAGCATTTTGCTCAAAGTATAGCTGTGACCAGATGTTTCTCCAAGAGGAAGAAAGAAAAGCTCCCCCCAAGTTGGAAATGGAAGTGTAAATTTCTGCCCGATGTCGCTAGATTGGTGAGTCCATCCAGACCCCAAGGTTGGGTTTGCTGATGAAGAGGGAGTATTCCAATGAGGGAATATTCCAATGAGCAGGTATTCCAATGAGGGAAACCATTTCAGGTAATCCCTTAATAATATTCTCTTCTTTTTTTTCCAGGAGCATTATTCCAGTCATGCTTGGATTCAGATTAAGCTAGCTGCTGCTCATTTGGGTGCATTCTTTTTGCAGGCATTGTGACAACTGGTGAGGATGCTGACTCTTTTCAAAGAAACTATTCAGCTGAGGCCACTGGCCATGCAGTCTGTGGTGTCTCATCACTTCTCCAAGTAGCCTCATGTAGATACTGAAAAGCAGCTGGGATCAAAATAGAACCTTGTGTGACTACATGTGAACATCCTTAAAACATCACCCTCCTCTGGGATGAGTTGAGAAGAATGCTGCCTATTGTATCGTAGCAATATCTTATGAATGGCTTGGCAGCACCTTCTTATAAATTTGTGTTCTAAAAGATAAATGGGATAGTATGAAATTTAGAAAGTTTGCCGAAACCATAAGAGGATCATCCATTATAGCTCCTAGGGCTTGCCTCTGTGACTATTTCATGCGTCATGTGTGGAGGTTCAGGGAGACCATTACATTCATCAGGGACGGTGGCAGGCATGCCTCATTCAAGACAGTGTTAATAACTTCTGTTCTTACCAAGAGGCTGTACCTTGAGTTGCGTGTAATGGCTCAAACACTTTTTTAGGGCTCCTTTATCCACTGTAACAGGACCAAACTGGGATGGCTGATGCTTTCTGTTTTAAATTGTCTTAGTAAGCTTAAATTTCTATGAAAGGGAGGAGAGCTTTTTGCATGGTTGATTCTTTGGTCTGAGGCTCATTTCTGTAATCTGGATGTACTTTTATGTTTCTTTGGCAAAATAATATCACCTTGTAACTTGCAGCTGGAAGAGCAGGGAACAGGGGCTTCCGCATCCTTTAACTGTGTGATAGTAGTGTGATCTTTTACTAAACCCGTTGTGTTGTCAGCATATTGGTTTTGTGTATGTGTTGGAGTTCGCTGGTTTGGTTTGTCTGACATTAATTCGCTGATGAGCCATCTCTGAGATCAGGGCAGTTATTTATGGCTACACTGGCTGACTAGTTATCGATTGTTACAGTATCGTCAACACAGCCTTCATGAGTGAGTAATTTACACTTGTAGAAATTGCTAAACAGTTGAAGGGTTCAGCATCTTTGGTAAGTCAGCAAGCTTTTCTTGGTAGGATAGGGAGATGACCATTATCCTTGTTTGAATGAAGTAGCAGTTTGTGGTGAAGAAGGTATGTTTTGTATATCTTGAATTCTCTACTAGGCTGAAGATCAGGTCTTGGGTCTTACATTGTGCTGGCCTGAATTGAGCCTTCTTGAGGCTGGTGTTCAAATTTTAAAATCTGGGGAGAAAGTAACCTAGCTATTATGTTTTTCAATTAAAACCTTGAAAATGAAAATTATTTGTGACACTAGTTGTTGTTTAAGGCATTTTTGTCTGCTAGAAGCCTTAACAACTCTAAAAGGTGTAAATTCAGTGCTTCATCTCTCTGAGCTATAAAGACAGTGAGACCCCCAGCAATGATGATTTAAATATCAGCCAACCCTTCTTCTGGTCAAAGCAGGTAAAGAAGGAAGGCAAAAAAAATATATTAAGAAGGTCTGGATAATATACTGCAAATGTGACAATTCATTTAGGGCCATGAATGAGGAACATTTGAAAATAGCAACACTCGTCCCTGTTTTCAATTTTGACCAATGGAACTGAAAATCAGAGGTTGGGAAGTGGGGTGTGGGGGGAAGAGAGATTGCACTTCTGATTTTCACCAAGACCAAAACAATCCCACAAGCAACAAAGCTGTCTCACTGACCTGTCTGGTCCCTTTCCAGAATCATGTGAACCTGGTTTGCTCTAATGCTGGTCTGTGGCCCAGTCGCCTTTCCTGACTCCTGTTGGTGCTGTTCATCTTTTCTGCTTGTGGCTGGCTGCAGCCTCAGACAGACATTCCTGCATCTCTTTGGCTTGGGCCATGTTCACAAGCTTTTCTTCACAATTTGGGATGAGGGTTTATAGACTTTTTTAAAAATGAGATTCTGATGCCATTGCAGGACTCTGGCAACCATGGTCCTATGCACGTGACTGTTCAGGCCTGTGTCATTATCAATAATAATACCACTGCTTTCCCTCCATAATTCAAGCCTTACATATGTATCCATCTGAGTGAGAGAAATGAAAGTGTGTGTTTCTATGTAAGACAAGAAATTGGATGTTGGAATTCTTGTTTGTTTTCTTTAAAAAAAAAGAAAAAAAAAAGAGACATTCTGGATTGTGTCTATTTTGTAATATTTCCTGGCTTCCTTTTCATGTCATTACTTTAGTTGGCAGGTGCCTATTGCCATAAGAATGCAATGTGGATAAAACAACTAAGGACAATAGTTTGTCCTTACAGATGCTGGAGAAAGTGAAAAGTATAATACTTTACATGCTACTATAGTATTGGGTATACAATTCATTTGATTATTGGTCATTTCTAAGTCTCTGAACCTATATGGGGAGAAAATCCCAGATACATGTCTTTTGTCATTATCTAGCATGGAAACAGTTTTGTATTTCAAATGTTGAATAAACTTGTAAAGTTCTTGTATGTTCTAAGTATATATTTTTGTCATATATGTTGTCTTTTATTGTAAAAATCCAACTAGATATTTCTTATATTTTGGAAGGGATGTCTAAGCATGTCCTAACCAGAAAAGCAATTTTTTAAAATAAACAATCTAAAACTGAATCGTGTTTTTAAAAGTATGTAGAGTAGAATTCCTTAAACTTTAACTTGAGACTCATTAGCAACTGTATATACTTAGAGAAAAAAAGCTGCTGGTCTACATAGTAATTTGTATTAGTGAATTATTTTCATTAAAATTACACTGCTTTCTGTAATAATTTTTCAAGGGTATTAAAGAGGTCCATGAAAATTATGCATAAGTAAGTGTTTAGCATTAGAACTCAGAAATGTTGAAATCTATTTAAAGTAGAAGCGTTTGTATCCTGAAAAAGGACGAAGTTAAGCATCTACTAACTTTGTATAACGTACTATTTTAACTTCAATGGTGCAGCATTATGTTGAAAGTATTTCAGAGATCTGTTCAGTGGGACCATTTTTTTAAATCTTTTGTAATTCCCAATATCTCTCCAGGCATGAAAGAAATTCTCTTTTGGAAGAATTATCAACCAAGTTAAAGTTAAAAAAAAATATTCTGGAAATTTTTAAAAATCTCATGAATTACTTCTAAACTGGCATCAAAATATGGATATTTGTATATTTTGACAAACACTACTGCATTTTTTTAAATGAACTGTGAATTTAAATTGTCGAGAGAGCTGTTAGCCGTTCAAATAATCAGTTTGGTAACTTGTGTGCATGTGTGTGTGTTCCATTACATCTGTATTCAATATAGGCACTGCCATGAAAAGAACACTTTTAGTTGATGCTGTGACTTGTGCTTATATGGCAAGTCCTATGTTCATATTCAGGAAAGCCAGTTTTGTAAGAAGCCACGTAATGGGTATTGTGGTCTTGTTCCAGCTTGCGACTGACTTCAGCAGTGCTGGAATCAAGCCTTTTGTGATTGTATATAGATATGCACACTGCCCATGAGTCCTTGCTATTGTTAAATCCCTGGAACGTAATAACAGCATATACTGCTAACGAGCGGAAGCATCCTAAATTTTTTTTCTGTTGCCGATTTTCCCTGTTAACAGGCTTCTAAGGTATATGTATATAGACCGTTATCTTTGCACTGGACTGAATTATATTTCATAATTAAGCAAAAAAAAGAAAAGAAGAAAAATACCTTAGTCAGTTGTTCAGGTGGTGGAGATTCTTTGACTAGATGTTAACCACTTCCAAATGAAAAGTATAGTTTCAGTGCTAAAAATTTGATTTTATATTTTTTATTAAAATGCATGGAAAATTAAGCATTCTATTTAAAAAAAATTGACTTGTTTTATACATTTTCTCAAGTTTTTAAATAATATGGGTTTAACATTACCTCCTAATACCAGTGATGTTCAGTAATTTCTTAAAAGAAATACCTCAATTTGAACAAATATTTTTTCTTGTTAATTGTCAAGTGAGTTGAAATTATGTTGTCTTTGATATTGACTATAGTTGCTATAAACTAAACTGAGCCAAGCAGCAGCATAATTATATAAGCTTACACCATGCTTTGAGTGGTATGCTGAATTAATAAAGGAGAATTGAAATCACTGTCAATATTTTATGAATGAAACCGAGGACTCCTTACAAGTTTTAATGTCCATTATGAAATCACTGGTCATTCTGCCCAGCTGGACACTTCCTTTGTGACTGGCTTACTGTAAAACAAAGTTTCAGTGTGAAATGAAATTTCAGCCAAATTAAAAGCAAAGCAAAAAAAAGCAGTGGTTTTTTTGTTTTTGTTTTAATATTTAGGTTCTCAAATGTTTCTAAGGTGTCTTTACAACAGTGAGTCTTGGGAGTCAGAAAATGATATTTCACTTTATACATAGCATTAATAAGGAAATTACTGTAATATTTCCAGTTCTTCAGTTCGTGCTCAAAAATAAAATATGCTGAAACATACTGGAATGGGTTCAGAGAAAAGCTACAAAAGCAATTTGATGTCTGGAGATCAAGTATACTGTGGTGAGAAACCAAAGGACCTCAGTTTAGTTCTGGGGTGTCAGACATGGCCTGTGGGCCAGATACACCCTACAGAGCCTTGTTGTCTGGTTTGTGGCCTCCTATAGGGGCCAGGGCCTGCCACCAAAACCTGGTTAAGGAGCCTTGCTGAGGATACAGGTTGGCAGTGAAGAGTCAATGAGGGCTGCATTAGCTCCCACAGTAGCTACCACTTCTTCCACTGCCCCTGTGTTAGATCCAAGTCACAGGGAGCCCCTGCAGTCCAGATCTGACCAGAGGGGCCAGAGGAGTTTGACATCCCTGATGTAATTTGTTCAAGATGCATCTAAAAAGCAACATGGGCATGATGCCACATTTACCTCAATCCAAAATGAAGACAACCTCCATTCTTCCCCTTCCCAGTTAATAATTTTCCAGGTATAGAACCCAATACATTTGTTATAATTGTCCAAGTATAGAATCTAGTTAGTGGAAGGTAGTGTTAAATTTTCTTTTTCCTCCTCTTCCTTCTCCCTCCCACCACCCCACCCTCCGGCTGTGGCAAGGGGTAACATGCCAGATCCCTGCCTGTTTGCCTTCCCCCTTCCCCCCGACCCCTTGAGCAGAAATGGAGCAGAAGGTAAGTGGGGGTGGATAATGCAGTATGGTCTCCCCTGCCTTCCCCCAAAGTGCATGTGCAGGTGTCCCGTGCATTGCTTCTTTCTACACTCCCCCTGCCATGTGCCCATTCCTTGCCACATGGGCCAGCTCAGCCCGGGTCAGGCAGTGGCTCAACTTTGACTTTGACTCCAAGTCTTGAGCCAAAGCTGGAGCTGAGCTGCTGCCTGCCCTGGGCTGGTACTGTAATTTAACATGAGGTTTTTTTCACGCATAACTGGGGGCAGGCAGGGAGCCTTGTCTTGGATTTGAATAAATACAGTATATATGTACTTGCCTAGAATCATTTAAAAAACAAAAAAAACAACAAAAAAGCGGGGGGTGGTCTGGAAAGGAACTTGGCAGGTTTCTAGTCCACCTTGGTCATAGCAGGGTCATCCCTTTTTAAACGGTTCCAGATAAATGTTTGTCTGACCTGCTCTAAAAAATTCCCAGGAAGGAGTTTCCACCATCTCTCTAGATCAGGGGTAGGCAACGTTTTTTGGCCGAAGTGCCGAAAAACACCACATTGCCTACTTCAGGTGCCGGAGTGCCAGCATGGCAGAAAAACGAAATAAGGATAAGGGTACATGGCAGGATGCCCTGTTGGTGTCCCTTGCCCCCCACCCAAAGCCCCTGCCCCCAGCTCGGGTTTTGTGGTGATAGCTGTTTGCAGCCCCGTTTGCTTGCTGCAGCTGCCCAGAGCCTGGGCTTGCTCCAAACAGCTGTGCTGGGCTCCAGAACCCTGCTATCACTTCTATGCCGGGAGCAGGAAAGAGACTGGGGCTGCACTGCCTCAGGCCCCTCCCTCACTGCCCGCTCTGATGTGCCGGTGCAGAGCTGATGCCACAGGCTGGAGCCTGGCACAGCTGTTTGGAGCCGCTCTGGCATCAGCTCCATGCTGGCAGTGACTGCAGCGGGGAGCCTGGACGGCTCCCAGCAGGCAGCTGGGATGCTGTAAGCCCTGCTGGAAGCAGCCTGGGCTCCGTCGCTGGCAGCAGTTACCCAGAGCTGGGGCTGGCTGTGGCATGCCAAGCAAAAAGGCCTCGTGTGCCATGCTTGGCATGTGTGCCAGGGGTTGTCAACTCCTGCTCTAGATCATCTCTTCTAATGCTTTACCACCCTGAGTTGCAAACTTCTGTCTGATATCCAACCAAAATTTTCCTTGTTGCAGTTTGAGACCATCACTATTTGAGACCATCCCCTGTGGCCACAGAAAACAGACTATCATGCTTTTCTGTATACCCACCTACCCCGTATATGAAGATTGTTATTAAATTCTGCTTCAGTTTTCTAGACTGGACAGAGTTCCCCAGGTGAGGCCACACTAATGCTGAAAAGATCAGAAGAATCACTTCCTTTGACTTGCAAGTGACACTACTGTTAATACAGCTTGGTATGATATTAATTTAAGCACCTTTCCTGGACCCCTTCCCTTCCCCCTTCCTCAGCAAGATAGCAAACTGAATGGGTTTGTTAGTATGCTCCACTAACCCCTACAGTACCTTCCTGCAATAATGCAGCCTAGCCAGTCATTCCCCAGTTTCTATTGTGCACTTAGTTGTTCTACTCTAAGTGAAACTCCTAACTGCACTTGTCCTTACTGAATTTCATTTAATGTTGGATAAATGCTCCAGTTTTATTAAGGTCATTCTGAATCCTAATCTTATCCTTCAAAATGTCTGCAACTTAACCCAGTTTTGTATGATCTTCAGATTTATTAACTGTGCACTTAAGCTGCTTGCAGACGTTTAAAAAATAAAAACAAAAACCCGGCACTTTACTTTAAACTCCACGCCGAGCCCAACATATGCTCAGAATAGGCGATGTGTTAGTTGGATCTAGCTCGCCCAAAGTCTGTATAGATTGGGTACTTTAGTGGAGCTTTTTGGTACTTTTATCTAACAGGTGATTGAATCATTCAATCTATACAGACACTGCAGAGCTAAGTCAAAGTAACACACTGCTTCTGGTAAAGCACCTTTTTTTGTTTTGTTTTTTTAAACATCTGCGAGCAGCTTTAATTCTATGTTCCACATCATCAATGAAATCTTGAACAGTACCAGACCCAGGAGAGACCCCTGGGGATCCCCACTTAATAACTTCTCCCAATTAGACACAGAGCATCTACACTTGCTCTGGGGGAGGTGGGAAGGTGGCAGTAGTTAGGGTGCTTAACCAATTAGAGTGACTTTAGAGTGGTTATAAAGCACCCATTTGGGGTTAGGGGGGAGCACTCTAATTGAAGCATCTGCTGCTTCTTGTGTATTCAGTGTCTTGTGCTTCAACATGGTAGCAGGGGCGCTTTAACTAACGCACCTTTGATGAGCTGCCACTTTGAAGTGCAGGGACGCTGAATACATATGATGCAGAGGCTGGTTAAGCATGCTAATTTGCATGCTCCAACAGACTCCATTACTACAGTCTGCTGTAATACATTCTAAGTAGAACATGTCAGAGCAGGTGTTGGGCATGTGTATAGGTGCCCTGAGCCATTGGTGACTACTTTCTGAGCATGACTGCCAAGAGATTTTGAAAGTATAGATAGTAGTAAACTTTGGGAGAAATTGATAGATTATGGGACTGATGCTTCTCTTTTGCATTTGTTGAAATTATAAAGATACATGGGCCCAAGTTAGGTGGGGCTTGAAGGGTGAACTTTGTACAAAAAAATTGCCTACAAAAAGGGTTTAGACAAGGATGTATTTTGGCCCCTTTGTTATTTAATCTTTAAATAAATGACATTATTTGAAATATGCAGGATGAGCGTTTTCATCCCCCCAAAACTATTAGCAACCCTGATCCCTATTTTAATGTATGCAGATGACACTGTCCAGAACTCCTATGGGATTACAGAGAGCAATTACAACTTTTGAGCATCTTTGTGGACAAAATAACTTGGATACATTATTTTGGATTTATCATAATTTATTGGGGAAGTCGTTTGAAATATCCATAGAATATGGGGGGACCCAAACTTGAAATTGTCAAAACCTATAGGTATTTGGGTGTATTATTCACAGCTTCTCCATCATGGAAACATATTCAGTCAGTTAAAACTAAGGCAGCCCAATCGGCTGTGGCTATAAAGAAATGTTATGAAACCACAGCAGGACAATCAGTCCAAGCTCCTATATCAGCATATAAGCCAAAGTTACCTTTTAGATCTTATGGCACTGAAATATGGGGTTATGCCGCTAGTAATGATGTAGACATACCTCAGGACAAGTTTCTTAGGGCTCTTCCTTCTTCAATTCCTGCATCTTTGTTGAGACGAAAGATGGGAATGAATTCTATTTTAACTAATATTATATTAAAATAGCAGGATTTTGGTTTAAAATCCTGCCATTTTTACTGTCTTGTCTGCTTAAATTATGCTATATAGAAGATATTAATAATCCCCCACCTCTCCAATCACCCTGGTTAGCTTTTCTTTCCTGTACTCTTGCACTTTCTGGGATGGGATACTACCTCAAAGATAATGAAAGATTTTTCTCCCTCATAGAAAAAGTTTGGGTTTTCCAGAGGATACGCGATATTGCCAGGCAGAATGTTTTTGCAGTGGCTAGGGCTACTCGTATTGCCTCTTTATATACACTTTGGAAATTAGATTGGGGGGAGAAAGGTATTTACAGTTGGATCTCAATAATAAATGGTGATCCTCTTTGACTAGGCTTGGGACCAAACAGATGCCCACAGCTGTTCCGGCTGGATGCAGATTTTCCATTCCAAGGGCTTAAAGATGTTGCCCAGTCTGTCTAGAAGTTTTGGAAGATACTGTCCACTATGTTTTAGAATGTTCTTTATATAATGACACAAGGAGAAACTATTTATTACTGTTCTTGTGGAAATTGATACAGAGAGAATTATTCTGTGGAAATTTCAAACTGAGAGAAATTAATCTGGCTTTTACAGCATACATCCAAATTTAGTAAACAGTCTTGCAGTTTTTGCTAATTGGCTAAGGTGATTAGAGTTAATTATCCTTTATTACTGATATGAATGATACATTTTAACATGTGTTTGATTTTATTCTCTTAATTGTGGATTTATGTACAACAATATTATAGATTCATGTCTTGACTTAATACTATATATTAATGTTTTTA